CCTGCTCTCTCACTCTCTCTCTTTTAAAAGAAGTAATTATAAAAAATGCAAATTCTATCATACATGGTAAGAAAAAAGAGAGAGAGAAAGAGGAAGGAAGGAAAGAAGGAAGGAAGGAAGGAAGGAAGGAAGGAAGGAAGGAAGGAAGGAAGGAAGGAAGGACCATCCCAAAGACTCTCACTTACCTATGTCCTACATCCTCCCCAGAGGCTTATTATTGGTTTGTATATTCTTTCAGAAAGAACTACAGGTACACAGACGCTATGAGCTTGTGTGTGTGTGTGTGTGTGTGTGTGTGTGTGTGTGTGTATCCCCCACTGTTATACAAAAACAGTAACATACAATTCTTAGCATTCTAGGTCTTGCTTTTTTTTTTTTCTTTAACTCAATGTATCTAGAAATTGCTCCATATTTAGTGGCTACATAATGTTGCTCTCCGTGGACGTCCCATCTCTTATTTAACAAGTATCCTACTTGTAGACATGTACATTGCTTTTAGTCTTGTGCCTTTTGAAACACCTATGGCTTTGGACATTTTTCCATGAGATCAATTCCTCAAAGTGGGGTTATTGGGTCAAAGGGTACGTGCATATTATTTTTTTTAAAGATTTTATTTATTTATTCATGAGAGACACAGAAAGAGAGAGAGGCAGAGACACAGGCAGAGGGAGAAGCAGGCTCCATGCAGGGAGCCTGACGTGGGATTCGATCCTGGGACTCCAGGATCACACCCTGGGGCTGAAGGCAGGAGCTAAACTGCTGAGCCACCGGGGCTGCCTGGTATGTGCATATTAAATGAGGCTAGATGTTACCAAGCTGGGCTCCAAGGAGGATGTTGGCAATTATTCCTCCCTGGACAGCATGTGGGATTCCTTGGTTCCTGGGCCACAGCGTGATACCAAATGTTTTGTTCTTTGGCAGAGCCGTTTTCTCTGCAATAAAATGGTGTGATTTGAGAGCTGCACCGGAGCCCACCAGCCCATCTCCTGGGCCCAGAGAGGAGGTGATAGGGCCTGAGGGCTGGGTCTTCCCTGGCAGCTTCACTAGAACAGAGAAATAACTGCAGCTAGAGCCCTATCTCCTGTCTAGTCCCTTGCTCCTCAAATCCGGGAGGAGTCAGGCTATAGTTTGTGTCACCTGAGCCCAGAGTTTATGACACTACCAGGCAGGATGGCCCTCAGCAAGGATGCCCACTCTTTCTTTTTCTTTCTTTCTTTCTTTCTTTCTTTCTTTTTCTTTCTTTTTTCTTCTTTCCTTCTTTTTCCTTTCTTTTTTTTTTTTTTCATTCTTCTTTCTTCAAGATTTTATTGATCTATTCATGAGAGACACACAGAGAGAGGCAGAGACAGACACAGGCAAAGGGAGAAGCAGACTCCCTGTGGGGAGCCAGAGGTGGGACTTGATCCCCAAACCCTTGGATCACTCCCTGAGCTGAGGGCAGACGCTCAACCACTGAGCCACCCAGATACCCCAGGATGGCCCCTTTCTGAGCCCCAGATTCCCCATCTGTGGAGACAGGTGTGATGGATCCCCACTTACTCATCAGAAGGGATGGGAGTGAGCACTGCATGCCGGAGGAAAAAGGGATCTTGTAAGTGCTACTTGTGACCTCTCAGGCTGTTTGGGTGGGGAAGGAGCCTCAACTCCCCCACTTCAGGCTGTAATATTCTGGACATTTTCAAGGGTCCACCCTGCCTGTGGACCATCTAGCCCCAGCCTGGAACTCTCGGGGGCATGGCAGGGGGTGGGTGCGGGGCTGCCCTCACCATGATCTGGTCCCTCACTTCCAAGAAGTACAAGAAGACAGGTTGCCTACTGTTTGAGCTTCTGTTGCAAAGGCTTAGGGGGCTTCTTGAGGGAGTTCTCTGGACCCTAAGCCTGACAGGGTCAATAAAGAGTTGTGCCAAGAGTGGAGAGTAGGAACTCTAGACCAGGTGACATGGCCTCGGGCAAGTCCATGTTTGCCCAGGGCTTCAGTGACCCTGGTTACGCAGGGAGGGCAAATTGAAAGGACTTACAAGTCCTAACCTGGACCTCCAGCAGCTGTATTACCTGCCTGAACCTTGGTCTCTTCATCTATGACATAGGAGGAGACTAAACCGAGCCCTTCCCGCTTTAGCCCAGTGAAGATTCAGAGCTCTGCTGGGCTCTGGGGGTGGCGCATCAGGCAGAACTGTTTTTGAGTTGGCGTTGAATTTTCTAGGCCAAGGAAGGGCCCATCTGGAGCCAAGGCCTCAGCAGCCACTCCCTTGTCCCTTTCCTGGGCCAGGCCTGGCCGAGGGCCGAGGTTGTCCCGTGCTACATCGGGTGGTGGGCTGAGGTCAGTGGATATGGAAGCGTCCACTGCAGTTCTGCTGCTCTGGCAGGAAACCCAAGGAAAAAAGCCCAGAAACATCTGTTGTCTCCCATTTTCTGCAAAACCATTTGGCTCTTGGGGAGCCCAGTGACTGTCCTGCCAAGCTGCGTGGGCTTGGTAATGGGGCGGGAGCTGGAAGAGGGGTGGGTGGTTAGCACAGGGGTGCTGAGGGACGAGCAAAGCCAGAGCTGTGGCCCTGGGAGGTCAAGGCCAGGCTGTGTGGGGGCAACTGGCTGAGGTGGAACAGGTCCATGGTTACTTCGAGACCCACCATGCCCTGGTGGGACATGTGTAGGTCTGCAAGTGCTTGCGTGTACTTCCTATTTATAGCCAAGCGCTCAGCTTCTTACGAAGGAAACTGGTGTTTAGTCAGGCCCCCGCACCAGCCCGGGCCAAGCATGACTTTAATATTCTCTCCAGGCAGACCTCTGATCGCAGCCCCGCAGAGAGCCCTGACATTCACCCCAGCTGGTCCTCAAATCCCACTCCTGGCCTCAGGCTGAGCCCTGTAGAGAAGCCAAGCCACCGCCTTCACTCTCCTGGGTTATTGCAGGCCTATCTGTGCTTCCTCCTTCTAGCTAGTCTATCCTCCATGCAACAGCCAGAGTCATATTAAAACCTACATCAGATCTGCTGTCTCCTGGGCTCAGAAGCCTGCAATGGCTCCCCTCCCAGACAGAGTAAAACCCAGAGTCCTTTCAGTGGCTGGCAAGGCCCTGGATGACCTGCCCCTCTGTCCTTGCTCACTGCACTGTGAGCTACACCTTGCTACAGCAGCCCCCTTACTGTCCCCCACACATGTCAGATGTTAGGCATGTTCCCAACCACAGGGCCTTTGAACTTGCTGTTCCCTGCACCCAGAGCCCTCTTCCCCAGATACCTGCATGAATCCTTCTCTCACCTCCTTTAGATCCTTGCTTAAATTCTCCTTTTCAGTGAGACCTTCTCAGACTACTCTATTTAAATTCGTATGCTCTCTCCTCCCCAAATTCCAATCCTCTCTTCTTGACTACTTCTTCTCAGGAATACTTATCAATTAACATCAAATACTTAGCATTAACGTATCAAATTATCTTGATCTATCTCCTTCCTTAGAATGTAATTTCACTGCGAGTAGGGATTTTTTTTTCTTTTTTTTTTTTTTTTTTTTTTAGTTTTGCTCACTGGTGTACTCCAGTACACCCCAGTCGTTGGCCCGCAGCAGTAGCTCAGTAAATATTTGAAGCCTGATCCTGACTCACTGCTCTGTACTCTCAGAGAGGCGGTGATGTGGATGGCACTGGGCAGACGGCTGCAACTCCAGTTTGGGGCTTGGTGTCCCGGGCTGGGGCATTTTGAGGTACCTGCCAGCTCCTTGAGGCCAAAAGAAGTCTCCGTTCTTTCTGTTTGGTTTTGGGGCCAGCAGCTGCCAGGCATTTGACAGGAAGTAAAGAGCACCCACCCCAGGATGGTGCAGTAAACTTCCACCTCTGTCTGTGGTGGCTCTTCCCCACTCTCCTCTGCACTGGAGGGAGGAGCTGCTGGCTTGTCATTAGTCTCAATCTGCCCAGGTCTGTCAGGTGTCACTCTATATCTCTGGTGTTAGTACCGGTGGTCTCAGGATCCTGAATCAGAACCACCTTGGGAGCTTGTGAAAAATGCAGATGCTAGGGGCACCTGGGTGGCTCAGTCGGTTAAGTGTCTGCCTTTGGCTCAGGTCATGTTCTCAGGTTCCTGGGATTGATTGAGCCCCACATCAGGCTCCGGGTTCAGTGGCGAGCCTGCTTTCCCTTCTCCCTCTGTCCCTGCATGCTCTCTCTCTCTCTCTCTCTAATAAAGAAAATCTTTTTTAAAAAATGCAGATTCTAGGGGCCTGACTGGCTCAGTCGGTTGAGCATGCGACTGTTGATCTCCGGGTTGTGAATTCTAGCCCTAACCTTGGGTGTAGAGGTTGTTTAAAAAATAAATAGGGAAGCCTGGGTGGCTCAGCAGTTGAGCATCTGCCCTTGGCCCAAGGTGTGATCCCGCGCACAATCCAGGATCAAGCCCCACATTAGGCTCCTTGCAGGGAGCCTGCTTCTCCCTCAGCCTATGTCTCTGCCTCTCTCTCTTGCTGTGTCTCTCATGAATAAATAAATAAAAATCTTTAAAAATATATTTATAAATTAAGTAATTAATTTAAAAAATCTCAAAAAAGAAAATAAAATACCAATTCTACCCCCCAGGCTTTCTAATTCACAGAATCAGGGAATGCCCTAGACGCTGTGTTTTTCATGAGCTTCCCAAGTGTCTGTTGTGTTGGAAGCTGCTGGGAGAAAGCTGGTGGAACTGGCCATCAGAGTAGAGCAGTGGGTCAGGGGAGCTGGAGTAAATCCCCGCCTCTACCAGCAGCTTGCTGTGGAACTCCGGGCAAATTGCTTCTCATCCCTGAGCCTTGTGCCTCCCCAAGTAAGTGGGCATGAGAGCAGTGCTTGCCTGTTAGGTTGATGGACTCCAAGCCTGACCCTGGGGAGTGATTGTTATCCCAGGGCTGGGTGTGCATCCCTCCACACCTCAGGGTCCTCCTTCGGGGGCCTGGATTGCTTCCTCCCTGGAGCCCTGTTTGAGTTTTGCAGGCCCCCACCCTCACCCACTCCCCTCCCCTCCTGGCCCCTCTGCTTCTCAGGTAAGACCCGGACCAAGGACAAGTACCGCGTGGTCTACACTGACCACCAGCGCCTGGAGCTGGAAAAGGAATTCCACTATAGCCGTTATATCACCATCCGGCGGAAGTCAGAGCTTGCTGCCAATCTGGGGCTCACTGAACGGCAGGTGCGTGGGTCCCCCCACCTTAACCACAGAAGCAGTACCAGAAGTCTGGCCTTCAGGGTGTTTGCAGATTAGAGACTCAGTCAAGGGAGGAGCACAGAGAGGTTGGATCTGCTGACCACGTCACACAGCACAGCAGAAACTGAGATGCTGCCCAATCCTCACCACTTGCAATGAAAACCAATATCCCTGACCCTCAGGAGGGGGACAGGGGATCTGATTAGCTATGGGCTGCAGCAGTGATGATGACTCCTGTTTAAATCCCAAGGAGGGAGGAGGTTGCAGTCTTCCTGGTGGAGGGGTGTTAGAGCATGGACTTACAAATGGGGACAGAGAAGGTTACAGCGAGAGTTGTCTCTAGGGTTGGGGACAGGTTCTAGAAGGGAGGACATGTTCAGCGGCCATGAAGAGTCTGGGTGGTGGTGCAGCAGGGAGCCCATAGACCCCACCTGGAGAGAGAAGAGCCCAGCTGTCCTTCCTTCTTCCTCTTGCTCTGCCGTTTGGCCCCCCACCAGCTGGCCCATCTCTGCTCTCCCCACCACAGGTGAAGATCTGGTTCCAAAATCGGCGGGCAAAGGAGCGCAAAGTGAACAAGAAGAAGCAGCAGCAGCAGCACCCGCCGCCCCCCCTTCCAGCCCATGAAGTCACTGCCGCCGCAGCTGGGCCGCTCCTGGGGGGCCTGTGCCCCAGCTCTGCTAGCCTCCTGGGGGCCTCCTCCCCAATGCCGGTCAAGGAGGAGTATCTGCCGTAGCCTCCTGCCCAGCCTCATGGGCTGGGAGGCCTGGGGACTCAGATGCTGGCCATGTGGCTCCTGTTAAGGCCTAGGAGGCCTGGTCTGAGTCCCAGCCCTGCCATTGACTTTCGGAGTGACCTTGGACCAGCTGCCCTACCCAGTCCCTGCATCCCTGTGGCCCATCTGTGTCTTGAGCCTGCGGGATAAGGACCTCTCCAGCTCCTAGGGGATAAGGAAGCCCAGGGTGGGAGGTCTCAGTCCCTAGAGGGCTAGGTGAGGGGCCCTAAGTCCCCATGCCCCACCGACTTCTCCATGGGTTCAAGGGTGGGAGGCTGCTGGAGGGCCTGGACTGATTCAGAAGAAAGGAGCCAGAGCTGAGAGAAGACAGAATGCTTGCAGTCCATGACCCGAGGGGAAGGGACATGGTTAGCTCCCACCTGCCTCTTCCTGGGCCTCACCTCCAGCTGCCCACCCCACCCCCGCCGCCCGCCCGCCCCATCACAAATTGGCCTGACCCCTCTCCAGGCTGGATGCAAAGCACAAAGCCCACAAGACTGGGCCAGAGCAAGCAGCTCTGGTGAACATCCACTCTGGCTTGCGGAGCCATATCCCCCCCGCTGGCATTCTCAGTGGGGCTTCCAGATGGGGAGAGGCAGAGGGGGCCAGAGGGTGGGAGCCGCCTGCCTAGTTTCTGCTGCCCCCCACAAGGCTGTCACTTAGGGCCCAGGCCTCAGGGAGTCCCCGGGGGACTTTCTCTGGACCAAGCAGAGCTCACAGCTGGGCACGTGTTGTGTGTACATAGAGTGGAATCTCTTGGATCAGCTTCAAGAATAAATTTTTTTTCTCTTGAAAAAACAAGTATAAAATTCATTATACACAGCATTAAAGGAAGATGCTAAAGAGGTATAAACCTTCCTCACCCTGCTCTAACAATTGCATAGTCCCCTCTAGTCTCTGTAGGTCTCCAGCAAGGTCACCTTTAAAATCTGTTTGGAAGATCAAAACAGGACATGGTTAGAGAAAGTCTATGAGACTATGCAAAATTGAAAATCCATTTTGTAAGCAGAATCATCAGACCCAATATATCAGGTTTTTAAAAAATTTCCAAGCACTTTCAACTCACAGTTTTCACTCAACAGCTGATATTCATTGGACACCCCCATGTGCTAGGCATGGCCAAGCCAAGGGAATGCACAGTCCTTGCCCCACAAGAGTTCTCGGTCGGAGTGATGCTCTGGGCATCAAAGGAACAGAGCATCTGGTGAGCCCAGAGTGGGCTCCCAGCTTATGCCAGAAGGTCTGGAAGGCTTCCTGGAGGACGTGATGTTTGGATTGAGGCCTAAAGGTCCTGTCAGGAATGGTAAAGAATATGAACAATATGAACTTAGAGTATAATTTTTAAAAACTCCTAAGAAAAGCTACTGTTCTCAACTCCCTCCCAGAGGTGGGCAGGAATCTGCCACCTGGGGCCTTTGCTCCCTAGAAGCCTCTGGTGCCAGCTGCCTGCCCCTCTGTTTACTGTTCTGGGATGTGGCCCAGCCATAAAAAAGTGCGTAGGCTGCCTGCCTGCCTGCCCTTTGCTCCTGGGACACATGACAGCAACACATAGGTGGATCAAGTCCCCTCACGAGCTCTTGAAGGACAGCAGGCACCTTCTCTCCTCCTGCTGGTGTCCTAGGAGACCTTGAAGCTTCCCTGAAGATGGTGGGCATCTAAGGCATGGGAGCAAGGTGGTGCCAGGGAAAGGACTATGGTTCCAAGAGCAGAGGAAAAGAGTTGGTGGGAGAGTGGTTGGCAGTGAATGGATATAGTTTTCTGAGCCTCAAAAATATTTGCTGTGTGACCCTGGGTTAACTTCTTCCCCTCTCTGGGGCTCATTTCCTCATCTGTAACACTGAGGAGTTTGTTTACCAAAAAGAAATATGACTCAGCTCCAGAGTTTGGGAAGTCCTGCAGACTCAACCCTTCTGGGAGACTCAGAGTGGTGCATTAACACATCAAAGGCTCTGACAAGTCCCACAGTAAAAAAATAAAAAAATAAAAAAATAAAAACTTGAATTTTCTTTAATCCAGCATTCTCCATGCTTTGCTACACAGGACCCCCTACCTGCCAGCACCCCAGTGAACAACTCACAACTTGGATGTGTGGGGATGCCATGGGCTGGGGGGCCCTACTTCAGCCGTGACTCAACTTTGGGCAGTAAGTTTCAGTGTCCGATGGCTTGGCCTCCAGTTTACTGCCTCTTGGCTCTGAGACTTCAGGCAAGTTACTTAGCTTCTCTGAGTTTTAGCCTCCTCATTTGTCAAATGGAAATAAGATCCTTGAACCTATCTCAGAATTATGTTTAGCACAGGGTAGGTGCTGTGTTTTAGCCACCTGCTCATGGGGCTGTTGCATCCCTAGTGTGAGATGTTGGCAGGCTTCCCTAATATTCTATTTCCCTCCACCCCCCACCCCGGCCTCCCCAATGCTGAGGGCACATGGTGGCCTGGACGATCTGAGGCAGGACAAGCCTGTCCCCGGCCATAGGAAAACCTCTGTCTGGCTGGAGGTCAGTGGCCAGGCCTGGCAGGCTGAATAGGCTGCGGCTGCTGCCCACTTGTGAGGTGGGGGGGGGGTTGGGGGGGCCCACAAGTTAAGTTGGTGATCACTTGTCAATTGGTCTCTGAATTCCAGGAAAAAGGAAACTTTTAACTGCAACAACTTCTAAGCAATGCCTTGGGCTGAGTAGTGAGCTCTCTATCACTCAGAGATTTCCACCAGGGCCTGGGGCATTGTGGCTCAGGAAAGGGACCCCTCATGTCCTATCAGACTCTGCAGCCAACCCAGGGCTAAGAGGTAATCCAGCCTTCCCGTCAGGAATAGCTGCTGCCGCTTCTGTTGTGTGTGTAGCGATTTTATGCCATCCTCCCCCAGGTGGCAGGCCCTGATCTGGTGTTGGATACTGGGGGTCCAGACAAACGTCAGATATGGCTTGACCTGGTCCTCAAAGGCCCATGGTCTGGTCATGGCCTCTAGCAAATTGGAAGCATGCACATCAGCACTGTTTTTCATGCAATTTCCCCTGTAGCTCCCTAATGCCATGCCCAGAGCCTCTGTGTGGGGGAGCCAATCCCATCGATTGCCGAGAGATGGGTGTGGGCAGAGCAGAGACGGCCACAGCTCTACTCTAGGGGAGGACTCAGCCAGCATGAGGAACAGAGGAGGTCTCCTGCCGCCCAGGGTACATGTGTGTGCATGTGTGTGTAACGGGTTATGATGGGGGCAGGAGGACTGCGGAGCTCCAAGGAAACCAGCCCGGCTCCAGGTGGATGAGGTGCCCACCAATGGGACGCAGAACCTGGGAGGACAGCAGGCCTAGGACAGGGCCGCTTTGGAGGGCAATCCTCTCCCAGCGTGGCTGCTCCGGAGCCACTTTCTCTGAATCATACCAGATGGACTAGCAGTCTGATTCCTCATTTTTCACAGTCGCCACTCGCTGGTGTAACAAAACACATGCTCTGCAGTGATAAAGTCTGAACGTTTTAGCAAATTAAAAATGTTTATTTATATGCACTTAAAAATATCTCCCTATATAATAAAAGGAAGTACATTTTCATCTAACACTTTCCTTAAATCAGCACACATCTCCATTCTGGTTTGATGTGAGACCAGGAGAAACAGAGAGAGAACGAGGGAGAGGTGGGAAGAGGGGGAAGGGAGATAGATTATTTACTGGTTAGGATTCCTAAGTGGTCATTCTGCCCAAAAGTACACAAACTTCCTCTGGGATCAGGGAGCAGAGTCAGTGGTTGTAGCAACTGTCAAATGTGCTTGGTGGCTGATCTCATAGCCAGTTGTATGATCATAAGACTGGGGCCTACATGGGCAGGTTGGCTTACGTGGACAATATCTTCTAGAAAATATTGGGGTTTTGTTTGTTTGATGAAGACCAGACTTTCCCACCAAGGGTTGTAGTGATAGGGCAGAGGATCTAGAGGGCAGAGCCTGTGCAGGGTCAGACTCCTAGATGCCAGGAGTAACCCCGCCTCTGCTTTACACAGTAGTTGTGCGGGTCCTGCCTGCCTATTCTGGGCCTCAGTGTCCCCATCTGAAAAGTGTGAGCCTGGATCCGTTTGCACTCACAGCCCCAGGGACTGCCAGGGATATTCAGTGGTCACCCCATGACACGTTTGCTTGAGGAAGGCTAAAGATCCAGTCCTCTTCCCTCCCACTTCTGCAAGGCTGGCGGCTCCCCCCAGGGCTGAATCTGGGGGAAGCAATCCGGGGGAAGCAGACACAATGGGGAAGGGGCCATAAAGAGGCCAGTCTTCCAGGGCTCTTGAGCCAGTGCCTCACCTCTAGTCCCTCTTCCTGTAGTTCTCTGGACCTTCCATAGGGTCTAATGATGGGGTTGTTGAGCACAGCTACAGCCTGTGCTATAAGAGAACTGACAGGCCCTAAGGGAGGGGCAGGGGTGAGTCGTGCCTGGGTCTTCTTGGATTCAGGAGCCATGGGCTTCTCCCCTCTCCAAAGCCCAGAGATTCCGTGCTCTGTGTGACCTTGGGTATATGACTTCACTCCTCTGACAGTTTTCTCAGGTGCAAAACAGGGATGCACAAACCAGTCTTCCCAAGCTGTTGGAAAGAATCATAAGTTAGATATTGGATATAATCCTTCATCCAATGAACACAGTAGGGTTCCAAGAAGACTTCTTCCATTCACATTCATGCCTAAAGGGCTCTTTCCTCCTGCATCTGGAGAACCCCTGGCCAGCCCTTTGAGGCCAGGTTTTTTTTTTTTTTTAAGATTTTATTTATTTATTGAGAGACACACAGAGAGAGGCAGAGACATAGGCAGAGGGAGAAGCAGGCTCCCTGTGGGGAGCCCGATGTGGGACTTGATCCTGGACCCTGGGATCATGCCCTGAGCCAAAAGCAGATGCTCAACTACTGAGCCACCCAGGTGTTCTAAGGACATGCTTAAAGGAAGGAGCAGCTGGGTGGGACCTGGGGAGGAGAGGTGGGCCCAGGACCCCGCCAGGTCCTTTACCCAAGCCTGTGCTCCCATATAAACCCCTCTTGCTTCCTTCTAGGCTCCAGGGGTATGAGAGACAACAGGCCCTTATGCTCACTCTCCCTAATGGGTTGTGGCTGATGGTAGGGCAACCCACTATGTTCAGGCACTATGGCTTAGTGCCTGAACTGGGACACTGGAGTGAAAGGGGCATGATTTGTAATGCATATGCCAGATCCACTAGCATATATGAGACCAATGGGCATGAACACTCTAATAATTTCCCATCCTAGTCACAGGCTCACACAGACCCTCACAAGGCCCTGATAGGTCAGTCAGGCACAGCGTCCCTGATGGCTCATTTTAGAGATGTGAAATTATAACATTCCTGGGGTCATACTGCTGGTGGCTAAGAACCCGGGTGATCATCTAAGTCACAAGCCATCGCAACACGGTGACACTTGCCCTATCTGTTCTTGCCCAAATCTCCCTGTATCTCTTTCATCCCAGGGAAAGGAGAAATGTTCCAGACCACCCAGGAGGTCCATGAGGCCTGACTCTGTCACTGGTGTCACTCACTAGCTCTGTGACCTTGAGTGAGTAACTTAACCTCTTTGCTTCAGTTTGCCCATCTGTAAAATAAGGATGATACCATCTGTCCCTCCAGGTCACTGTGTTGAGACAATACGAACTGGCCCAGGATCTGGTACAATCAATATTGGTAGATTAGGACGATTGAATAAATACCTGATTCATGGCTGCTGTTCCTTTTGTTGGCAAGAGTGGGCAACTCATAGTCAGTGAATGTCAACTGAGCCCCTACTATGTGCCTTGCCCTGCACTACATGTTTTCTAGGCACAATCTCCCTGGATTCCTCACCTTATTGAAAGGGTGGTAAGATTCTTATCCCCATTTTCCAGATGAAAAGGCGGGGGGGGGGGCGATCTTATTTAACGTGGGCAAGGTCACACAGCAAAGAAGAGGAGGCACTGGCTTGGGGGAACCAGGAGCGGGCTGTTAGTGTCCAGGCACGTGGCCTGCCCTTCTCATTGCCCAATGGGAGAAAGGGGGGCCCAGAGAGGGCAGGTTACTTGCCCAAGGTCACGCAGGAGACGGTGGCCGAGGCCTCCAGACCTCTGAGGGTTTCCGTCGCGGACCCCCCTCCTCCTGCGCTCGGGCCCCTCCAATCCGCAGCTCTGCGTGCGGGGGCGCGCGCATCCCCCGGCTGTCGGTCCGTCAGCCCGTCTGTCTGGGTGTCTACGCGGGCGCAGCCGTGCACCCCTCCCCAGGCTCGGGCGCTGCGCAGGGAGAGGCAGGGCGTCCGCAGCGCCCGGCCCGCGCCCCACGCCCCGCGCCCCGCGCCCGCAGCCGCCAGACGGCAGCGCCTGCGCCCGCGCCCCCCCAGCCGGTGCGCGGGAGCCGCCGGGGCAAAGTGGGCGGCCGGCCGGCGGCGCGGTCTCCGGCTCGCTCGCTTGCTCTCGGCTCTGGGGGAAGCCAAGCCGGGGAGCCCCGGCAGCCCGCCCTCCAAGATGAAGAAGCTCCACGGAGCTCCCCAACGCAAGGTAGGGCACGAGGACGGGGGCGCACGCCGGGGCGGGGGCGCACCTGAGGGAGGGGTGCAGAGGCCCGCCCCATCCAGGCCCTGGGAGGGTCTGAGAGGGCGCCGGACCGGCTGGGGCTCGGGGGAGGCCGGACTGAGCTAGGTCGCAAGGAGGGGCGGGGTCACGGCCTGCCGGGGGGCGGGGGCGGGGGGCGGGGGTGGGGGTGGCGACGCGGCCTTCCCCATCTGGGGGTCGGGGTGTGGTGTGATGGGGCTGGGGCTCAGTGGGCCAGGCCCTTGAACAGGTGTCTGCACCCCCAGGAGGCACGGGGTAGGGGTGTCTGGGGCCGGGCGCCCACCCTCTCCAGTACCCCAGCCGTTCCCCCCAGGGGCTGATTGGGGTCCGGGCTGTGAGCAGAGCTGAGCGCCAGCCTCTAGCTGGACTAATTTCGGGGGTGGGGGGCGGGGAGCCGCCCTGGTCCTCCTGCGTGCGCTCCACCCTGAAGCAGCCTCGCGGAGCCAGCAGGGGGACGCTGTCTTTCCTGCCCGGGCTTTTGCCCTGCGGGGGGGGGGGGGCGCCACCTGCTTCCTGCCCATCCGCTTTAGCTCCCCCGCTAAGACCCCAGGCTGCCCATCAGCGGGGCTGGCCGGAGGCAAGGGCAGGGTAGGAAGAGAGGGAGACCCAAGGGATCTGGGGGTGGGGTGGAAGCTGGCATGAGAGAAGGGCCAGCTCTGTGCTTCTGGAGCCCTGGTGGAGACCACAGCCCCTCCCCACCTCTCCTGTGGGGCTAGACCCCCCAGCCAAGTAGCCTGTGGGGGCGGGGCGTGGGCAGGGAGGAAGAGTATTGGGTCAAGTTTTCTCGCTTTTGGCTTAAAAGTACCAGTCCTCGCGAAGGAGTCAGAACTCCTGGGCACTATTTCTGCAGATACCACTTACCCTGAGACTTCGGGCAAGTCCATTCTCTAACCTGGACTATCATTTGATGATCCAGCTCCAGTATCAAGGCACCAAAGCAGGCCCCGCTGTTCCTGAGTGGGCCTGGGGGATGTGGTGACCCCGCAGGGGCTGGTAGAGGTAGATGGGAGAGAGGACTCTGAGGGGCTGGTGTTATATTGACCACTTCCACCCGCATCCCCCTCCCTCCTGCCCCTCATTGGAGCCTTCTCCCCCACCCCGCCCCACCCTGCAGCTGGGCGTAGAACCACTGTGATAAGTGGGTCTTTTTTATTCATTGACATGAGTGACTTCTTGGGGCTGTTTGTGGTCTTTTGGGTCTTCTTGGGTCCTGCTCCTCACTCTTTTCCATTCTCCTACTCTCTCCCCTTTCTCTCCCCACAAGAGCTGCTGTTCCTCACTGCCACAGGGCCACACCGTGTGTATAGCCACGTTCTGTAAAGCCTTACCTGGGAGCTGTGTCTTGTTACCCCACTTTATAGACAAGGAGAAAACAGACATGGGGGATGCAGCTTGCTGCTTTCCCAAAGAGGGGCTGAGCAACCTAGGACCATCAGGGCAGGGTGGGGCCACCTGGCTTCAGTGTCCTCTCCCTTGGTCTCAAGGTGAAGGGGGCAGGGAGGGAGGAAATGCCAGGTATCAGCCAGGGAATAGCATTGTTCAGAGATGAGCCCTGGGCTCAAAGTCAGGGGTGTGGAATCTGGTTTTGCTCTGCCCTTATCTTGCTATTTGACCTTGGACTCATCCCTTCCCCTCCCTGAGACTCAGTTTCCTCATCTGCACAATAATGAAGTTGGACTCCAAATTTCTATTGTCTCTCTCTCATCCTGCAGAAGGTCTGAGAGCCTTGGCTTGGGGCAGGCTAACCTCTCCCAGAGCCTGCCACTGCTGGTGACCTACATCTGTTGGTCCCTAAACAGAGGGGGTGCAGGCCTGACAAACTCAGGATTACGTTCCTGCGTGACTCGGGATAGGCAGTGGGGAGTCGGAGGTGGGATCTTCAGGCCCAGGCGGAAGTGTGAAGCGACTCACCGAGCTTCCAACGCTGCCCCATTGATTTGGTTACTTGTCTCCCAGGCAGTCCCATCCTCTCCATGCGCCAGCCTCCTGGGATTCGGCCCATGGTGGGCTTGGGGGTTCCGGGTGGTCTTGGGATTGGCTCATCTTTGGAGGACCCAGTCCCCTGTCCCTGGAGCAGGAGCAGGCTTCCCTCTGATTGGGGGAGGAGGGGGACAGAAAAGCTGGCAGCATCCTGCTCTTGGAACTCTTGTCACCATGGAAACAGAGAGCCGGGACTGCTCTGTGAGCAGAGAAAGGGCAGCAGCTTCTCAGGAGGGATCAGAGGAACCTCATTACTGGGCCCTCCTGCCAGCTGGCCTGACGGGGCTGGGGGGCTCACAGGGTGACCGGCCTGCCACACTACCCCGTCTCAGGGGCCAGTGTCAACTGGCTGCTCCTCCATCCCTCCCGGAGCTCACCTGGCAGGGAGTGATTCCAGGGGGCCTGTACTCACCCAGCCGGGGAGGAAAACTGTGGAAGGGTGCTCAGAGGGCTGGGGCGGGTTTCAGATAGGTCTGGGGGCTGCTACCCTCAGCCCAGCATGTCTGAGATCACCACAAGCCCAATTACTGGAAAAGCAGCTTGTTCACATTCGTTATCATCATCTCCATCACCCATAGTTATGCCAGGCTGTCCCTGTTATCACTGCCCTTCTGGCCAATAGACAGCCTCAGGCAGGATCGTTACCATGGTCGCCACTGTCACCGAGAGCCAACCAAGACTGTTACCCCCAAACCCATCACCTGACCCTGTCACCGCAGGTGGACGCCTCCAGTCCTATGACACCTGCACTCTCCTTCCACCTCTTTATCCCGGCAATGCTCACAGGACAAATGCCCGGCAAAACCCCTCTGTCACCACCCAATTTGTGTGTGGACACCCACTTGGCTGGTGCCAGGAAGAGCAATTTTAGGGGAAAAAAATACCTGGTCAGTAGCTGATTCCCGAATCCCTGTGCTAGGAGCCAATCTGGTCTTCAATGGCTGCGAGTGTCTCTAGCTGAGGGTCTGGTGAAGCTTGCCTCACAGGCCATTAGAGCCAGAAGACTAATAGATGGACCTACATTTCTCAGAGTAAATCTCAGCATGCAAGCTTCTTAAAACCCTTTTCTTCAATAGAATTGCAGAACACTGTCTATTCTAATCCCCATTTAGATAGTCCCAGTGGGTATTGATGCATTAAAGGATCTGACAAGTCCTGCAACAAAGAAAACTGTTTTGCTTTGTGTTAATCCAGTGTTCCCCCAATTTCTTTGACTCAAGAAGAAGTCTTGAGCATCTATGAACATCCCAAGGGATGAGTTTTTGGAAACACTGATCTATTAAATTCCCTCAGTTTCGAGATGGGGAAACTGAGGCCCAGAAAACTCTTCCCTCAAGTCACACCATGAAGTGGCACAGACTTGGGACTAGAATCGTAGTCTCCTGACTCCCAGTCCAGAGGTATCACTGTTTTCTCACCACTATTCCTCAGTAGAAGCAGGAGGGTCCTTTCTCCTCTCTCGGAACCGTGATGTAATTAGACAATGGGCTTTTCTCTTTCTTTCTTTCTTTCTTTCTTTCTTTCTTTCTTTCTTTCTTTCTTTCAAGATTTTATTTATTTATTCATGAGAGACAGAGAAAGGCAGAAACACAGCAGAGGGAGAAGCAGACTCCCTGCAGGGAGCCCCATGTGGGATTCCGTCCCAGAACCCCAGGGTCAGTCCCTGAGCCCAAGGCAGACATTCAACCACTGAGCCTCCCAGGTTCCTGACAGTTGGCTTTCTTTGCAGTTCCGTCCTTCTCTGCCGTGGGTTTGAATTTCAGAGGCAAGTGGGAAGGCATGTCTGACCCTTTCTTCTGACCCATTCCAGGAGACACTTTGGGGAACTGCTCTCTGAATTTTAGGTAGTTGGCCTGGTGTCCTTGGGCTTCCTTGCTGGCCCTCAGCTTGGGCGGCTCACAGACGTCCTAACTCATCTACCAGGCCAGCATTCCGAGCAGCTGGAGGAGAGCCTCCATTTCCCAGCCCCAGTCTGGAGGGAGAATGCCCAGTGGACTTCTCCACCCTCCTTGAATCACAGGCAGGGATGTTAGGGACAGCTGGCTTCCGGTCCCCTCTGTGCATGCATCTCTCCTGCAGTGACAAGAAGATTAGGACTTTTGTGAGATAGATCGGAACTCAGTAGCCTCTTCCTGATGGTGAACTAAAATTCACAGTCCTCCGTAGACCATCTTGAGCCACCAGAGCATAAATCTAATTCCTCCCTTGGGGTAGCTTGTGTTCCCTCCAAGTCCTCTTCTATCTGTGCTAAGGGCCCGTACTTCTTCCCCTGTCTTCCTGTGACTGCTTCTTCTGAGCACCCTCCTGTCTGGCCACTTGCCCTGTAGACATGCTCCGAGCTATCTGTGTCTTTCTTAAAATACCGTGCCTGGAATGGAATAGCAAAAGGCAGCCCTGGAGGTTGGAGACTCGAGCTTCACTGTTGAGAAGCTCTGGGCTTGAGAACCAGCTCTCCACCAGCCAGCCTTGTAAAATCTCGGGTATGTCCTGACACCTCTTGGAGCCCCAGTGGTCCTCATGATTAAAATAGGACCCAGCAGCCTGGCTGGCTCACAGGTTTAGCGCTGCCTTCAGCCCAAGGCCTGATCCTGGAGACCCGGGATCGAGTCCCATGTCAGGGTCCCTGCATGGAGCCTGCTTCTCCCTCTGCCTGTGTCTCTGCCTCTCTCTTCTCTCTGTGTTTCTCATGAATACATAAATAAAATCTTAAAAAACAAGCAAACCAGGACCAAGAGGTGCCTGGGTGGCTCAGCTGGTTAAGTATCTGCTTTAGGCTCAGCTCATGATCACAGGGTCCTGGGATGGTGCCCCTACATTGGGCTCTCTGCTCAGCAAGGAGTCGGCTTCTCCTTCTCCCTCTACTGCTCCTCCTCCCTCTACCCATCCTTCCTGCTCATTCTCTCTCTCTCTCTCTCTCTCTCTCTCTCTCTCTCTCTCTCTCAAATAAACAAATGAAGGAGGGGATCCCTGGGTGGCGCAGCAGTTTGGCGCCTGCCTTTGGCCCAGGGCGCGATCCTGGAGACCCGGGATCGAATTCCACGTCGGGCTCCCGGTGCATGGAGCCTGGTTCTCCCTCTGCCTGTGTCTCTGCCTCTCTGTGTGTGTGTGTGTGTGTGACTATCATAAATGAATAAAAAAATTAAAAAAAAAATAAAATAAACAAATGAAGGAATGCCTGGGTGGCTCAGTGGTTGAGCACCTGCCTTTGGCTCTGGGCATGATCCCGTGGTCTGGGATCGAGTCCCACATTGGGCTCCTTGTAGGGAGCTTGCTTCTCCCTCTGCCTATGTCTCTACCTCTTTCTGTGTGTCTCTCAGGAATAAATAGGTAAAATCTTTTAAATAAATAAATAAATAAATAAATAAATAAATAAATAAATAAATAAAATCTTTAAAAAATAAAACAGTGCTTAAACAAGTACTTAGCTCAGTGTTGTTCTGAGAATGAAATCAGCATATAAGAGCTCAGTACGTGGTAACCATTATTAAGATCATCGTCATCGTCATCAGCATAGGACCTCCCTTGATTTGACCTCTGTGTCAACTGAACTAAGATGAAGCTGGCTTTCTTTGTGCCTGAGCCACCCTGCTGGCCTCATAAGTCTGTAGCGACCTGCAACCCCCAGGAGCTCCTATGTATAACGTGAAAGCCCAGGTCAGAGCACTTGATTTCCTCACCCAGGAGAGTATCTCCATATTCAGCTCTGTTTGATTTCATATTCTTATTTTGGGTGTGGGGCGGGATGTGTCACAACCTGGCCTCTTCTTTCTCCCTCACCCCTTTGGTCTCTTTTACTGGCAGCCCATTACCCCAGACCTGCTGATGACCCCCAGTGATCAGGGCGATGTAGATCTGGATGTGGACTTTGCCGCAGACCGGGGCAACTGGACGGGCAAGCTGGACTTCCTGCTGTCCTGCATTGGCTACTGTGTGGGCCTGGGGAACGTCTGGCGGTTCCCCTACCGAGCCTACACCAACGGAGGAGGTAGGGGCCTGAAGGGCTGCTTGTGGGGCATCTAGGCTAGTAGGCCGAGGCTTGGGGTGGAGTGAGTTTTTCAGTGGCATTGGCCACCACCTCCTAGATGGCCTTGAGTGGAATTCACTGAAAGCAGTGACATGGGGCTGGGAGAACCGAGCTCTCTCTGCCTTGTCTTTTTTCATCACCCCAACTCCTCCTCTCTCTCTCCCATGCCCAGAGTGGATTCCTACTCACCTCCCCCCACAAAGCCTGGGCCCTGAGTGATGGGCAGAGAAGCTGCCTCTGCTTCATGACAGCAGGCTGTACCTACCTGCCTGGCAGTGATCACTGTGCTCTCAAAGTTCTCCCATCCCTCCTCCTCCCCTACCCCCTTCAGGACCTCATTCCATCCGTCATTCCCACTTGTGAATCTTCGATCTGTCCTCCTCTCCTGGTTCCTTCCATTCAGACTGCAAACACCAAGTCCGTCCCACCTTAAACCAATCCTCTGTTGTCCCTGCTTTGCCATCAAGTGACTGATCTGAGTCTTGTTAACAATAGCTGGGGTTGAGCATTCACCATCTGCCAGCCCCAGGCTTGGTGCTCTCACTTAACCCTGATGACAACCCTCCTGGGCAGGCACGGTTGCCCTGATGTGACAGCCAGGGCTTGGAGAAGCCAGGTTCCTTGTCCAAGGTCACCCGGTGGCCGACCCAACATTCCACCTCCAGGACTACTTTGTCCAGAGCCAGTGTGCTCCCACCACCCACCCTCGAAGCCTCCTTCCGTCTCTGCCAAACTCCTGGAAGAAGCACCTATTGGCAGAGCGACAGAAATAGTCCAAATAGGAGATGAGGCAAGGAAAAGATGAATTGCTGTGACGGGAAAGTGTGAGACTGGAGCTGGCCTCTGATGCTCTAGGAACTCCATAATGGCCACAGTCCTGTCTGCTCTCCCTTTCCCTGGCTCCCAATTCTGTTTCTCTCTCAGTGCTGACCTCATTTTTTCCTGGGGCCAGCTCCCTCCTTGAAGGTGGGGGAGGGGGGTGGCCACAGACAACTCTACAATGACTTCATCCTCAGAGCTGTTCTCTCTGAGCGCGTCCATATAGGATCTCAGGGAAGGTGTCTTAACTGGCCTGGCTCCCTGAAGGGGTGGCTAGTAGGGGGCTAGCATGACCGACAGCCCTCCCAGAGCCTGGTGGGCAGTTTTCTAAAGGAGCTGGCTGCCAATAGGAGAAGCCAATGGGGAGAGGTGTGGGGCACTGGGGACGACTGGTGGCAGCCGCCAGCGCCTAAGGTGGCATGACAGAGAGGACATGGGGAGGTAGATTGGGGCCAGATCCTGAGGGCGTTCGTTTCCTACTGAGGAGTTTGCACTTTCTCCGGCAGGGCATTCCCTCAAGTGTTCCTTCACTCACTCAGTGTTTGCTCTGAGCCCAGCCCTGCCCTGGGCACTGGGGCTGCAGAGGTGAGTAAAGCCCCGCCAGCCCCCTTAGCCCTCAGTGAGCTGATATATATCAGTCCCAGTCCACAGGAGAAGGACTCCGTGGGGTCGCAGGTGTCTGCCATCAGGACGGGGGCGGGGCTGGGCTGACCCACCTGAGACCTTCGCCGACCACCCTCCTCCTCCTCCTCCTCCTCCTCCTCCTCCTCCTCTTCCTCTCCTCCTCCAGGCGCCTTCCTCGTGCCCTACTTCCTTATGCTGGCCATCTGTGGCATTCCTCTCTTCTTCCTTGAGCTCTCTCTGGGCCAGTTCTCCAGCCTGGGACCCCTGGCCGTCTGGAAAATCAGTCCCCTCTTCAAAGGTGAGGCCTCATAAGTCATGGTAGGGGTCCTGGCCTGGGGGAGGCAGGGAGGTTGCCCCCCATGCCTCAGCCTCTCTAGGCAGAGAGGGAAGTGAAGCCCACAGAGGGAGGATGGCTTCTGGAGGCCCCACAGCCTGGCCCACAGGAAGGCCTGACCTGAGGGCAGCCCCCTCTCCCGCACGTCCAGGTGCCGGCGCGGCCATGCTGCTCATCGTAGGCCTGGTGGCCATCTACTACAACATGATCATCGCCTACGTCCTCTTCTACCTCTTCGCCTCCCTCACCAGCAACCTGCCCTGGGAGCACTGTGGCAACTGGTGGAACACGGACCTCTGTCTTGAGCATAGAGGCTCCAAGGGTGGCAATGGGGCCCTGCCCCTCAACCTCACCAGCACTGTCAGCCCCAGCGAGGAGTACTGGAGGTCAGGCCACTGCCGGCCCAGCAGCTGTCTGGGAGGGCCCCGAGCTGTCGGGGTGGGGGGTGATGACAGGGGCAGGAATGGGCCGGCATCCCCAGGGGGCTCAGTTTGTACCTGGAAGGCCAAATCCCGGTACTGGTGTTAGGTGGACTCTGGCTTCTAACCCCAGCTCTTCGCTGACCAGCCGTGTGACCTTGTGCAATGTATTTGGCTTCTGATACTTTATCTTTGAAGTGGGTATGATAATAGTATTTCTGGGTCGTTGTGAGGCTTAAAGGAAGGAAGTATAAATTGTGCCACCAGCCTATTGGATAATCATGCTCAGTAAACAATGGCTGATAATCGTGATGCTGATGACACCAGTAATAGTAACCTTGCTGGCCACAGCTTTACCCCATGCCCGCGGAGTGTGGCAGGGTGACCAGAGGACACTCAAATCTTCATCCCCCACAGCCGCTACGTTCTCCACATCCAAGGCAGCCAGGGCATTGGCAGTCCTGGGGAGATCCGCTGGAACCTCTGCCTCTGCCTGCTGCTCGCCTGGGTCATCGTGTTCCTCTGTATCCTCAAGGGTGTGAAGTCCTCGGGCAAGGTGAGCCCTGGGGGGTCCTAGAGGCCTGCGGGGCTGGGAGGGGTGAGGGCTTCCTGGAGGAGGCAGCAGGGCATGGACTGAGCCTGAGAGGATGAATTGGGAAGAGGTTGGGAGTGGGGGTGGGGGGTGTGGGGGTGGGGGGTGGGAAGCACTGCCTGAAGAAAGATTTGGAGGTAAGGATGGACGGTGGCTAGGCTGGTTCACTGGTTCACTAGACTGGAAACTTGTCAAGGACGGCCCTCTCTGTTACTCAAGTTTGTATCCTAACCCAGTGCTTGGCACTTTGAAGAGGCTCTGCAAGTTGGCTTATTGGATGCTTGGAAGGTGGGTCTAGGTGTCGGTACAAGTGACTAGAGCCCATTTGGTCTGTTGGAAAGTCCAAAGGGTGTGCTTCAGGTACAGCTAGTCTAAGGATTCAATGGGTGTCATCAGGAATATGGTTTTCTGGGTCTCTCAGGAGTGCCTTCCTCCAGTTGGCTTCCTTCTCAGGCTTCATTCTCCATGAGGGTCCCCTTAGCAGCTTCAGGCTTCCATCTTACCTGCCTAACCAAGAGTTCTCTCTCTTGCCCCAGTTTTCAAAACCCCTAGAACTGAGTCTCACTGTGTAAGCAGGGTCATATACCCATCCCTAAACCAGTCACTGTGTTCAGGAGGGTGGGGTGCTGTACTTGCCTGGGCCTCGTCATATGCCCATCCCCGGAGCAGCTGGGAATGGAATCAGCCCCAGCTAGGGAAAGTCAGAGGATTGGTATCTGAAGGAGACCAGCTGGATGCTAGGAAGACAAAACCACAGATGCCCACCTGAGGTTATGAAGGGTGGAAAGGACCATGAGGCTGGCTTAGAAAGACTTGGAAGCCTTCTGAATGGTTTACTCAATCATTTATAAATTAGAACTTGTCCCTGTGCAAAGTGCTGAGAAGTGTCACCCACGAGGAGTGGCACCAAAAGAAAGACTTAGAAAGGTAGGGTAGAAACCAATGAGAAAGAGAGAAGTGATCAAGGTGCAAATCCGGGCAGTGGGGAACTTGAGACCTGGTGGTGTTTACCGAGGAAGTGCCTGGAGGTTTGGGAACAGATGGAGACAGGGTAGGGGGGACTTTGGGAATGTGCAGTGGCAGATGACCACACAGGATGGGTTGCATGGGCTGGGGGGTGAGAGAATGGGCATATGGCGGGAGGAGAGTCTCATAAACCCTAGACAAGGCCTCCAGGCAAGGGCTGAGGGTGGCCTGGAGCGGGGCGCAGCAGAGCTGGAAACAGGATGGGTTGGGGACACTTCGGGAAGCAGTGACAGGGTTTTAATGAAGGATCTGTGTGTGGAGGGTAGGAGGCGGGGAGGGAAAGAGAAGCATCATAGATGATGGCTGTGCTCAGCTTGGCCTACCCAAAGGTTGAGGAGGCGAGTTAGGTAAGACGGGGATTTCTGGAAGAGGAACAGGGTAGAAGCAGGGTCCCCCCTGCCTGCCATTGCCACTTATCACATCTCAGGTGGTGTATTTCACGGCCACGTTCCCCTACCTCATCCTGCTCATGCTGCTGGTCCGAGGAGTCACGCTCCCAGGGGCCTGGAAGGGCATCCAGTTCTATCTCACCCCCCAGTTCCACCATCTGTTGTCTTCCAAGGTGAGGCTCTCGGGGCTGAGGCGCAGAGGGAGGGATCAGGCCTTAAGCCAGGGGGCAAAAAGAGGAGGGCCCCCTGGAGAAAAAGAGGGCAGCAGGTAGGAGTCCTCCGTGTGGTGGGCCCTTGGTACCACACTCTGTGCTCAACACTGTGTCTATTTCATTTCTTATTCTTCTACTTCAGAAGTAGACATTATTCTGGGGCGCCTGACCAGCCCAGTCAGAGGAACAAGTGACTCTTGATCTTGAGGTCATGAGTTTGAACCCCACATTGGATGTAGAGATTAGTAAAAAAATAAATAAACCTTTAAAAAAAAGTAGACAAAAAAAAAAAACGTAGACGTTATTCTCCCATTTTACAGGCAAAGAAACTGAGGCCCAAAAGAGTGATAAGCTTAAGGTCCCATGGCTAGGGAGTGGCAGAGCTGGAGCTCCAACCCAGATGTGTCTGACTCCAAACCCCAAGGAGGGCATTAGTAATGACAGAAACAGTGCTGCTGACGGCTAACATTTCTTATTTGTTAAGGGATGAGTGCCTGACCCTGCCCTAGCACTTGGCACGTAGGTAGTCATGAATCCTTACTGCCACCCTATAAGGGAGCTCCTCTTCCTATCCCTGCATTACAGAGGGAGGTCCCGAGGCTCAGAGAGGAGAGACCATACAGCCACAAAGGAGGGAATCACATTGAGGGCCCTCCAAATGCAAGGAGGAAGTAAAGGGGTTCCATGGGCTCATTGTCAACATGGATCTACTGAGAATTTACATAAGACACGACTTCCTTCAGAATTGGACCCACCTTAGCAATCATCTAGATTCTGGATGGGGAAACTGAGGCCAGGAGAGGTTTTTTTTTTTTTTTTTTTTTTTTTTTTTATCTCCTGGCCTATTCTGGGCCAGGCTCTTCAGCACGCCGTTCCCTGGACCTGTTGGCTAGCTCTCGCCCCACCTCCTCCCTCCTCTTTCCTTGGCCCCCTGGACATGGCTGTGGTGCGCCAGCCCCTTCGCTTTGCTCTCCCTCTGCATTCTTCCCTGCCACAGGTGTGGATCGAAGCTGCTCTTCAGATCTTTTACTCCCTGGGTGTGGGCTTCGGGGGTCTGCTCACCTTTGCCTCCTATAACACGTTTCATCAGAACATCTACAGGTCAGTGCAGCCTGACAGACCCTGGGGCCGGAGCAGGGAGGAGAGAGGCTGGCCAGGGCAGGCCTTGCGGGGTGAAGGCAGGGCCCGCTCACTCCGGCCTGGGCTTGTGTGCCTGGACTTCCCCTGGCAGAGACACCTTCATCGTCACTCTGGGCAATGCCGTCACCAGCATCCTGGCTGGCTTCGCCATCTTCTCTGTGCTGGGCTACATGTCTCAGGAGCTGGGTGTGCCTGTGGACCAAGTGGCCAAAGCAGGTGGGCAGGCTGCCCAGTGCTGGTGGGTGAGGGTGTGTGTTGGGCACAGCTGGGGCTGGGCAGGGGGCACACGTGTGGACCTGCAAGGTTGTGGATGGCTGTGGCCAGTGTGTGTGTGTGTGTGTGTGTGGATGTGCACACATGCAAAGGAACGTGTCTTACCTGGTCTCTGGGTGTCCAAGTGCAAAGGGTGTGGGTGGGCAACCTGTGTCTGCAGAGAAATGAATTTCTGTGCGAGATCGTCTTCTGTTTTGTTACATCTCAGCAACTCGCCTTGCTTGTCCAAATGAGTCATTTCCTGTGTCAAGATGTCTTGTGCCAGTGAATGGAGGGTTCAAGTGAGGATGTGAATCAGTGTCCTGTGCCAGTGGATGTGTCTAAGTATGTGTGGAGTGGGATTGTTTGTGTAAATGATGGTGTACATAAGTGTATTCAAATGAGGTTTCCTTGTGTTTGTGCTCATTATTAATTCATTTATTTTATCACTCTGTGTTCATTGCACACTGGCAGTGTACTGGCCTGTGTCCTAGGAGTTAAGCGTTACAAGTGTGCAGTCAGTGTGCATCTCTGGGTTTGGTGACCCTAGTGTACCCAAGCGGGTGTAAGCGACCCTGTATGTTTGAGTGTGCCTGCGGGGGCCTACCTCGTGCATGCCCCGGGCTGCTGACCCTTTCTGCCCTTGGCCCAGGCCCCGGCCTGGCCTTTGTCGTCTACCCACAGGCCATGACCATGCTGCCTCTGTCGCCCTTCTGGTCCTTCCTTTTCTTCTTTATGCTCCTGACTCTTGGCTTGGATAGCCAGGTGAGCCTTGTCTGTGCCGGCACGCACCCTGCGGGGTGATGTGCATCTGTGTGTGTCCCTGTGTGATGTGTGTCTGTGTCCACATGTGATGTGTTATGTGTATGTGTGTGTCTGTGTGATGTGTGTATATCTGAGTGTGTGTGCGTCTGTGTGAGTTTGTGTGTCTGTGCACGTGTGTATGTGTGTGTGGTGGGGCAAGAATTCTGACACCTCCTTCTCTCCTCCCCAGTTTGCCTTCCTGGAGACCATCGTGACAGCTGTGACGGACGAGTTCCCATACTACCTGCGGCCCAAGAAGGCTGTGTTCTCGGGGCTCATCTGCGTGGCCATGTACCTGATGGGGCTGGTCCTCACCACCGACGTGAGTGCAGGGAGAGTGGTGGGGGAGGCAAGGCCAGGTGCCTGCAGCAATGTCTGTGACTACTCGCGGGGCCACCTGCTTCTTCCTCTTTGAGAGGAGGCTAGCCCACCCCAGGCTCTCTCCCCCGGAGGCAGCTTGGCCCTGTGGCCCAGAGTCCTGGCTTTGAAATATAAAAGACCTGGCTTCAAGCCTGGCTCCTACACTTACTGAAGGACCTCAGGACAACTGGCTTTACCTTCCTCAGCCTGTTTTCCCACCAATAAAGTGGGAGCCTACATCTAGGATCATTGTGAGGCTCCAATAAGATGATGTATAAAGGCTCAGTGGGTGGACAGTGGTCACGCTGTCATCATCTTGCCATCACCTGGCTGCTTCCTGCCCACTCCCTGCCTGGAGAAGGGATTGCACGAGGGAGCAAGACTGGGGTGAGGGAACCCCAGAGCTGTGACTTGTGTTCTAGGGAGGCATGTACTGGCTGGTGCTTCTGGATGACTACAGTGCCAGCTTCGGGCTAATGGTGGTAGTGATCACCACGTGCCTCGCCGTCACCCGGGTGTATGGTGAGAGGGGCCATGGGCTAGGGAGTTGAGGTTCCCCACAGTGGGAGGATGGGAGTCTACTGTGGAGCACCCCCCTGCACTAGGTCCCTGCTCCCAAGGGCCGGGGTCTCCAGTGGGCACAGTGGGGTGGAGGAGGGGCTGCTGGTGCTCCTGGGGGGCGCCAGTGGGGCCATGCTCCTGTCTTCCCCTGTGCAGGCATCCAGAGGTTCTGCCGAGACATCCACATGATGCTGGGCTTCAAGCCGGGCCTCTACTTCAGGGCCTGCTGGCTGTTCCTGTCCCCGGCCACACTCCTGGTAACGGGTGGGAAGGAGGGCTGCCGGCTGGGACCCAGGGCTGAGAGTAGGGTCCCCTTCTGGGTATTCAGGCTGGTAGGACTACCCTGGCCCAGAGTGGACCTCTGTCGGGGCTGAGGGGTGGGTGGGCATGGGGATCTTGGTCTACTGCCCTCCCCCTCGATGCCCCCAGCTTTTGTGCTGGGCCTAGCCCCACGTTCCGTTAGCAAAATGAGTGGGGCTTTCCCTGGCTGCAGGGCCTTAGGGCTGGGGCTTTAGGCTGGTGTGTTGGTGCGTGTCTGTGCTTCTTGGCCTTGGAATGGGAGTTCAGACACAGGCTGTCTCAGGAACGGGGTGTTTCAGAGCTGGGCTATCTCAGGCCTCACAAAGGCTCCAAGGATAGATGGTCTCAGGTTCTATACAGCTTAGGACAGGCTTGTCTCTGACACTGGGTGGCTCTGGGCTGAGCTCTCTCCAGCCTTCAGGTAGCTTAGACCTGGGTTATCCTAAGCTCCGGGGCCTGCCGGAAGCCCACCGTCATGTTGGGGCCCCCACCCGCAGGCCCTGCTGGTGTATAGCATCGTCAAGTACCAGCCCTCAGAGTATGGCAGCTACCGCTTCCCAGCCTGGGCGGAGCTGCTGGGAATCCTGATGGGCCTGTTGTCCTGCCTCATGATCCCGGCCGGCATGCTGGTGGCTGTGCTTCGGGAGGAGGGCTCACTCTGGGAGGTAAGTCTGCCCCGCCCTTGTCTGCCTGGCCCTCCTGCCCTGGGCCCACCTGCTAGAACAGAAAACATCTGCCCCAGCACCTTACCCAAGCCTCACGGGCTTTTCCAACTAGTAGCCTGAGCTATGAATCTTCTCAGACCTGCTTAGAAAGAGGTAGGCTCAGGGGGCTTAGGTTCCTGCCCCTGGCACCTGTGGGGCATCTGAGGTGGGGGGAGCCCAATCCAAAGACCACAGATGTCAGCCAATGCCTGCATGTCTTAGGGAGAGGACAAGGGAATGGCCCAGGGTGCCACTGTGAGTGGGGCAGGGGTCAGGACTTGAACTCTGGTCACCAGCCCAAAGCTCCCCTATGGAACTCAGGGTCAGAAGGCAACATGGGGACCCCAGAAGGTGAGTTGTCACCCTTCTCTCTGCTTCAGTGCATGGGTAACCTGGGAATGGGCTGGTGGTGGGAGCCCTGCCCACACCAGGCTTTGTGAAGAAATCCAGAAAGCAGAGGATGCAAGTGGTCTGGTCATGGGGATCTGCAGGTCTCAGCACAGGGGAGTGGGCCTGTCGATGTGCCATGATGCTGTGTGACCACTGCAATGCTCTGCCCCTCTCTGAGCCTCTCCACACTCTGTACTTCTGAGGCCATGGGTGTGGCGTCCCTCCGCTGGGGAGAGGCTGTCACAGTGAGCAGAGCTGAGTGAGCCTGCTAGGGTCCAGAGAGAGCCTAGGGACCCCCACACACACACCCCATATATCCCATGAGGGGTATGCTGGAGCCAGCTGGTACTGGTTCATGAGAGCTAAGAGCTAAATATTCAGGGATGTTGTGAGCCAGTTGTTAAACCATTGGTTACTTGAAAATGACCTTGGCGGGGATATTTACACCACTGGAATTGGCTACAAGGCAAGCCTCCTGCACCCCTCCACCCACTGCCCCCAGCCTGCCTGCCAGCACCCTAGTGTGCCGACTCCCTGGGCTGCTACACTGCACCTTCGCTGGCCCTCACCCCACCTTCATATCTCCACCTGGAAAGAGGCTCAGGGCAGAAGTGGGCTGTGGCAGCACCATCCAGACCACAGGGCAGTCCTGGGGTCCAGCCCTGCTCTGTGGACACAGAGCTGCTGTGTGACTGGGAGCTAACCCCTTGCCTTCTCCCAGCCTTGGGAGCCCCACCTGTGCTACTAAGGGAAACTTGTCTCCTTGCTGGAGAACCAAGGTGTCTGCAAAGGGAAGGAGGAGAGGGGTGTTGCCCAGGGTGGAGGGCCCCAACCCCCTGGACTCACAGTGCCCCAGCCTCGCTAAGCTTCCCTCCTGCCCTGCTGCCGCAGCCACCAACAGCCAGGTGGAGGGCCATGCTGTTGGGTGGTGAGCACCGCAGAGGAGTCCTTGGCCGGCTCCAAGTACCAGCTCCAGAGACCAGGGCTTCCAGCACTGACACATTAGGAAGAATCCTGGGTCTGCCGTTTGCCAGCCGTGTGGCCTTAAGCAAGTTAATGCACCTCTGTGAAACTTGCTTTTCTCTGTCCTTAAAGTAAGGGCAGTGATCCCTCACCTAAGGGTTGCTGTGAGAAGAAAAGAAGCTCATCAATGTAGTCAGGAATGAGAGGGGCAGGAAAGCAGAGCATTTTAAAAGTTTAGGATGGAGTCAGACCGCCCAGGTTCAAACCCCAGCATCACCACTTCTCAGCCGTGTGACCTTAGCCAAGTTCACTGACCTCGCTGAACTGTACTTGCGGATGCGATCTGTGGGGGTGGAGCGTGAAGGTCATAATGCCCCTGTCCCAGGGACACTGTAAGGATGAAGCAGCCCACACTTAGCACAGGGCTGGGACACGGTGAACGTGTTGTTCCCCACCAGGGATTCTCACGGGTGTGATTTTGCTCTCAGAAGCCATTTGGTAATGTCTGGAGGCATTTTGCTTGTCGTAAGAGGATAATGTGCACAGAGGATGCTACTGGCCCCCAGGGGGAAGAGAGCAGGGATGCCATTAAACATCCCCCAGTGCGCAGAGAGCTCTTACACAGGGACTCTCCGGCCCAAAATATCCAGAGCGCTCAGGTCGAGAAGCGTTGGTCTAGGCTCTAGCGTTCAATTGGAAACAAATCTAAGTCCTTGACCTCAGGGAGCTTGTGTTTTAGTGTGGGAGACAGACAATAAACAAATACATAAAGATAGTGGTAAGTGCTATACTTTAATGATAAATAAAAAACTGAAACAAAAGCAAAGTTTAGGAATAGAGAATGAGGGAAGGTATTTTGACCCGGGTGGCTGGGAAGACTTCTATGAGGGGGTGACAGACACTTGGCAAAACCAATAAGATGATCTGTGTGGATGTCAAAGGGGAGAGCATTTTAGGCAGAAGGACAATCAGTGCAAAGGCCCTGAGGCAGGAGAGGCTGGCATGTTTGAAGGTGGCAAGGAGGTTGACAAGACTGGATCAGTGGGTGCCAGTGGAAGAGTGGCAGGCGATGAGATCAGGGAGGTAGACAGAGGCCAGGACATGGAGGCCGTGGTAGTGAAATGACAAGCCAGTGGCAGGTTTCTGAGCGGGGGGGGGGGGGGGGGGTGGTCACGTGCTCTACAACAGTAGCAGTTCAGTAAGTGTCACTATGCTTGGAGTATGGAGCCATGATAGACCCTGGGCTAAGGACACCGCACACATATTCCTCCTTGAATCTGCACACAGTAGGCTCCACTTAATGTTGGTCATCTATCCTCCTTGAAGGGTCTGGGGCTCTTCTCCCCTCAGGGTAGGCAGGGGGCTTTGGGAATGTGGTCTGGGAAGGGAGGAACCCTAGAACGTTCAGAATTAGTCATTATCTTAGTCATGTCGCTCCTTCCATGGAAACTGGGGCTCGAGAGGGAAAGATCAGCCATCAGAGTCAGAGCGAGGCCAAATGTGAGACGCTCGGAGGGTCAGCGACAATCCCTGCCTCAGGCTCCCAGCTCATGGCTCTTCCCCTAAGCTCCCAGCTGCTTAGGACTCAGCATTTAGGGGAAGGGACCCAGAGCGGGCTCCTGGATTGGCTGGCATGTAATCATAGCAGCACCACTTACAGGGCCCTAGCCTGTTCCCAGCGCCCTGCTAACTGCTTCGTCTCGGTGCCTCCTGACAACCCTGTGAGGGCATCATGATCCCCAAGTTACAGAGGAGGAAGTAGAGCACCGAAAGCTTAAATCCCATGCCCAGAGGCCACCCAGCTTGCAAGTGACAGAGCAGGACTCTCATCTGGGCAGGTGACTCTTTCGCCTGGGGAGGTGCCACTGCCCTCGCCCCCCCGGGATCGTGGCAAGGGCTGACCAGGTGATGTGGTTAGGGCTGTGCGGGTGCCTGGCCCCCGGAAGCGCTCCGTGAGCGCCGGCCGTTCTCACCGCTGTCATTGCTCTGCCGCAGCGGCTCCAGCAGGCCAGCCGGCCGGCCATGGACTGGGGCCCGTCGCTGGAGGAGAACCGGACTGGCATGTACGTGGCCACGCTGGCGGGGAGCCAGTCGCCCAAGCCACTGATGGTGCACATGCGCAAGTACGGAGGCATCACCAGCTTTGAGAACACTGCCATCGAGGTGGACCGTGAGATCGCCGAGGAGGAGGAGTCTATGATGTGAGCCGGGAGGCAGGCGGACAGGAGGCCCTGCCGGCTGCAAAGGGTGGCCGTGCCCTGCGGGGTGCTGGGAGGCCCGCGGCAGAGGTTGCCACGGTGGATCCTCAGTGCAAGTCCTTCCTTGTGGCCTCTGCCTCTCCTGTGTCTACCTTCTCCACACACGCACACAAACCCACTTGAAGCTCAGTCCTCATTCTGCAGGTGGATGAACCGTGGCCAGGGAGGAGGGACTTGCCCAAGGTCGCATGGCAGGGGGGACTGGACCCCAGGCCTCCTGGCCAACCAGCTCCCTTTCTTACCTGGAAGCTGGCATCGTTCTCGCCTCTCTGTTCAGGGCCCAGACTCCTCTCTTTTCTAGGGGAGCCTGCCCCACACACTTCAAACAGCCAGAATCCCGAGCTGGGCAGGGATGCTCGGGGTGTGGCGAGGCCCATGAGGCCCCCCGGGCACTGAGGGTTCGCAGTGAAGTGAGAGAAAGAGCCTATGGGCTCCCATGCCAGGGCCAGGCTTCCTGAAGGTGGTGAGGTCTGAGGGCCCTGGACGATGGGAAGTTGGGAGGAGGGCAGGGTGTGGAGGCCCCATTGTAGCCCCTGGGCTCCCCACCACCACTCAGAGCCCAGGGCAGAGACCTGGGTATTACTAGGTTACAGCAGGGTCCAGGGGGCAATGTTGAATGAGGGGGAGGGGAGCAGGGGACAAGGGGGGGCAGGGGTTTGCATGATCTTGTCGCGCTTTAGATAGAATATCTTTCAGGGTCAGTGTGCAGGGTGGATTAGAGGGGCCAGGGTGGCAGTGGGAGGCCCATGGGGGGGCGGGCGAGAGGGGCTGGTGGCCTGAGGGGGTGGGGGTGGGGAAAGGAGGAGGTCCCCACACTTTTTTTCCCCTCCAGAGAAACAGTTATTTTATTTTGACCCCACACTTCTAAGAAGGGCCCTCGGCTTCCCTCACTGGACCCCATGCCCTCAGGTGTAGGGAGCGTGGGGATGATCAGGACAGAGGACCAAGTGGAGAGGTGGGCGTGAGGGGTCCTAGTCAGGCCCCAAAGCCCCTCCACTCCATTCTCCCTGTTTGGGTGGACCTCGCCGTGTCCTCTGGCTCCAGCACTGCTGGGAAATTGGCCTTGGCCGGGGTCAGCCAGGGCGACTAGAAGGCTTGGAGGTGGTCTGCACACACGACATCTGTCCTGATGCTGCACACTCTGCTCGGGGACGGGGGTCCCTGGGCCCAGGCATGAGGGTGGAGGCGGAGAGCCAAGGGCAGCCAGCACCTCAAGCCTGTGGCCAGAGGCCTTGGCATCTTCAGCCCCAGGCACAGGAGGGGCTGTCCTGGGGTCCCCCCTTCCCTGAGATGTGGAGCTTGCCAATGTTCCCCGGGCGGGGCAGGGCACCCTCATGGGCCGCCTGCGCACCCCCCTCCCTCCAGCCGTCTCCCCAGCCTGTCCGTGTTCTGTTGGTTTACTGTTAATAAACACCAATGAGGTCATCCTTCCTACCCCTTCTCCTGACTGCCGAGAACCGTGATGTGGGCAGCACAGGGGTTTCCAGCTTCTGTGGGACGGATGAGGGAACCGAGGCTCTGCTGTTCGCTTTCCTGGCTCTCCTGGCTTCTGACACTTGCTGTCCCATTTCTCTGTGGCCATGGTCGGTCAGGGGAGTGGGGTTGGGGAAAGGGGGGCGAAGATGAGGAAGCCCTCCAAGACAACTTAGCCCCCCATTATACATACAGACAAACTGAGGCCCACCAAGGCAGGGAGGCCTTGCTCACAGGTACCCAGCGAGGCAGGCAGAGCGGAAGGCAAGCCTGGGCAGCTGACATTCCCCTTCCCAGCTGCAGCTGCTCCCAGCCTTACCCCAGGTGTAGCCTGGGCTGGGAGACCAGGGTGGGGAGGAGCCCCGAACCTCCCAGGCTGGAAGAATTTCCTGGTGCTCCCCACCCCCTCCTGGCAGGACCTTGCCACATAAAAGAGCCCCAGGGCCTTTCAAATGCAAGGCCCAGGTGTTTCAAGAAAGGCTTTGATTGGGGGTGAAGAGGAAGGGCTGCTGCATATTTTGGATATTAATAAATTTCCCCTAACAAAGGGCCGGGCCCCCTCCTGCCCCTCTTTGTTTGGGGCTTTGGGGCTCTAGATGGAGGGAAGCATGGGTTTGCTAATGTGCTGAGGATGCAAGAATGGACTTCCCAATTCAAGATGCCTCTTCCCACACCCTGGGGGCAGGCTCCAACCGGCTAGGGCTACCGGGGCCGGCTAGGGCTACCGGGCCGCGGGCTCAGGGGCCCCATCCCAGGAGGAAGCACTCTTCAGGCCCTCCTGGCTCTCTCTGGGACAGACCCCAGGCCATGGTCCTGTGAGGATCCAGCACTCAGCCTCTTGGCTGCAGCCTGGGGTCCTAGGGGTTGGAATGGGCGATCCCGGAAGCCTGGGCCTCTCTTCTCCTGGGTTCCCAGTCTGTAGTTGGAGGATTCTAGGAGTCTATGGAGCCCACCAGCTTCACCTCCCCCTGCCTCACTTCCCCTGCCTTGCTTCCTCTTGCCGCTCCTCCACTAGTTCACCGCCCCACCGCTTGGGCCTGAGGTTCCTGGTCTGTCCTCCCTGGCCCCAGTCTTCCAGTGTCCTGCTTCTCCCCTTTCTGCTGCTCCCAGATGGCCTGTCCTATCCCATCACCTCCCCTCCCACCCCTGCCTCGCCACCACCACCATCTCCCCACGGCCCCCATCCCCATCCCTTTATTGACTCCAGGTCTCCCTGGCTCAGAACAGACCCCAACCAGGCCCCATGGCAGTGGAAACTCACTGGGCACCAGGGACCTGCCCCGCCCCCCCGCTGCAGGACTCCATGGCAGTATAGTGGGCCGCTCAAGGAAGACCCTGTTTGGAGCAGAACCCCAGCCTGGAATCCTAGAATGCCGTAGCAGGTGACAAACCCAGTGCCTGCAGAGCAACCAGGCGAGCGAAGCTGTAGGTATGAACAGCAGAGTAAGCAGTAACTGACCCTTAGTGAGTGTGGCAGAGACGAGTCAGGGGTGGGAACCATGGTGCCCTAGAGAAGACAGCATGCCTCTCTTCAGGGGCCCAGGTTGCCAGATACTGCAGCTTTTTAAGAGAAGTTGGAAGTTTGGACTTTTGTAAGAGATTTCCCATTTTATTTATCTTTATTTTTTTAAAAAAAATATTTTATTTACTTATCCATGAGAGACACAGAGAGATGCAGAGAGAGAGGCAGGGACACTAGCAGAGGGAGAAGCAGGCTCCATGCAAGGAGCCCAACGTGGGACTTGATCCTGGGTCTCCAGGATCACAATCTGGGCTGAAGGCAGGCGCTAAACTGCTGAGTCACCTGGGATGCCCAAATTTCCCATTTTTAAAATGATGAGCAACTGATTGAAAAGAAGTGAAATAGCATGGCTCCCTTAGGGTGACTCAGAGGCCCACTGCGCTGCAAGAGGCAGGGGGTTAGCAGGGCTGTGTCCCACGATGAGAATGTCCTGGAAGCTGAGGCCAGGCCCAGAGTGGGCCTGGGCCTGGCCTCACTCAGTGCTCTGCTCCCCTTCTCATAGCTGATCTCTATGTCCATGGACTCCTGGCCTGAGGATGCAGCATATGTGCCTGGCTCAGGTGTGGACAGGGCGCCCTGGGGCTCTTCATTCCTCTTCCAGGAACATTCTAGGATTCATCAGAGATGGTGTTCTCTTGGGGGGCATTGGGAAGCACTGAGTGGGGCACTGACCACCTGCAGTCACTTCCAGCCTATGATCCGTGGGAGCAAATATCTGGGAGGCTGAGGGGGAAAGAAAGGGGGGAGGACTCCATACCACTAGAGTCAGCCATAGTCCCAAAGTTAAGTGAGGGTGAACAGACAACAGGGGTTCCACCGGTTACCTTGTGTTTGGTTCTCAGTAGGCCCCGCCCTCTGTGTTCCCCTCTACCACCCCAGCCAAGTTCACCTTGTATGGTGCCCTGAGCAGGCCCAGGCTTCTGCTCCAGTGTCTTCCCCATTCACCCAGGGGACTCCAATCCATCCTTTTAGGTCTGTCCTCCATATACCCTCCCTTCCCCACCAGCTGTGGGCTCCTGGAGTCTTCAGGGATCTTGGCTCAGTCCTACACCTGGTGACCTGAGACAGCTCAGCTCAGCCTGCATAGGATGCTCATGGCCTCCAGAGACAACCTATTTTAGGTGCAGTTAAGACACTTCTAGCACTCTCCCTGGACCCCAGAGCAGCTGGGCCCACAGCAGGGCATTGTGATGGGGGGCTTGTGCTGCTCAGCCACACAGACCTGGGTTCATTCCCAGCTCTGCCCCTCCCTGGCTGTGTGGCCTTGGGAATGCACAGTGCCAGCTCACAATTTTGCACCAGCAGCAACAACTGAAAGCAGTGTGTTGCCAGCCCTTGGGACAGTGAGCAAAGAGTTAAAACAGCCCCAGCCCCTGTCTAAGTTTCACGTGACCCTGGGCTGCTGAGCCTACGGTTTTGTGGTGGACACTCTGCTCCAGACTCATTTTTTGCTGGTGGCTCATGGAAAGTTTGGCTCCTTGAGCTCCAGGCCACTCCCTCTGGGGCCTGAGGCCTTGCTGACGCTGGTCCTGCCCTGGAAGGGCGTCCAGGGCTGCCCGCCCGCCCCTGGATCCTTGGCCAGCACTCCACCCCCTCCCTCCCACCGCCCCCACCTCTGTCTCCGCCTGACTTCCTGCTGCCTGACCCTCTCCCGCAGGACAGGGTAGCAGCCCGCCCCCCTTGGCCAGCTGAGGCCTCCTCCCAGCGCCCCATCCAGAATCGCTTTCTATTTGAGGGAAGGAAAGCCTCTTCTCCTGATGTCCACAGCATCTGTGAGCAGCATCCCTTTGAGAACCATAGCCAACAGGAGGCAAGGCAGGCTTGGACTCTGCCAATAAGAGCCCAGTCTTGGCTCTCCTGTCCACTGACTGGGCAGCCGGGCTGGGTCTGCTGCTTGATCTCTGAGCCCCAGTGTCCTCATGTAAGATGGAGACAGTGGCTTTCCACCTGCAGGGAATTAAATGAGGTAATATAGGTGCTCGGTGCATTGTTTAAAAAAAAACCAATCAGTGCTTAGTGGCAGCTGTGGCTGGTTGAAGCCCTGCAGGTGGGATGGTTCTTAGGAGCCTGCTGTCTCTAGTACAGATAAAGAAACTGAGGCCCAGCTCCTGCCTCCAACCAGCAAAGGGAGAAGGAAGGTGGGGATCTGTGTGCTTGGAGCCAGGGTCAGGCAATGATGGAAGCCCGCAGACGAGTTGGCATCTTCCAGTTCCATGGCAAGATGCCTTGGAGGCTGGGCCTCGGTGTCCCCATCTTTCAAATGAATGGGTTGGAGAACCACAGAAGGGAACAGTGCCCATTCTTCAGAGCTGGGTTCTGGGACTGGCCCCTTTTGCTGGATGGAGTTAATGATTAAGAATTCTGATGGTTTCAAGAATGGGCTGTGAGGTCCCGCCAAACCAGCAGGAGGTGGGGATGCAGTGTAGGATCAGGGGAGGCACTAAAATCCTCCAGGCCCAGAGACTAGCTTTGACCTTGACTGCTGACCCAGGGTCAGGGTCCTACAGAGTTATAGGAATTGGGGTGGTGGGAGACAGGGGCAGGGGAGGGACCAATAGTCAATATTGATCTAGCCGAATCAAGGGAGTGGATGGGGAAGCAGGAAGGCTGGGGTGGGGCTTACTGGTAATTGGTCTTCCAGCTCCCAATGTAGCTGTGGGAACCGGAGAAATGGGGTGCTTGGTGCAGAATTCCCAAACTGAGCACTTACTGTAACTCCAGCTGCCTGGAGGACTGCCCAGGCTTAATGCATCCTGTCCTCTGAGGGTAGGGTCTAAACATCTGTATTTTTAGCCTATTCCCTGGGTGATTCTGCAGCAGCCAGCACAGTTCCCATATTTGGGAACCATAGGTTCAACCCCCTCATTGTTAAATGAGAAATCTGAGGTCCAGAGAGGGAGAGTAACTCAGTCAGGGTCACACTGGGAGAGAATGATGATAACTCTCCCCTTTTTCTTGGGTGAAAGGAAGTATGCTTCTAGATCGCTCCATCCATCCCCCAGTTGTGGCCCAAAGCCCAGGAAAGGATGGTGGGGCCAGGATGCCCAGAGGGAAGTGGCTTCTGAGACCCTGGGAGGTCCAGGTAGAAAAGGGAGGGTGGGGCTTGTCCCAGGAGGAAGGACAAGGAGCAGGGGCCATTCCCACAGGACTGGACCTGCCCCACCCTGCCCTGTGCAAACACTCCCGGCACCTGCTGGGGAATGTTTCCTAGAAAGTTTACTATGGCCCAGTCTGAGGAAGGCCATTTCCATTCCTGAGGACCTACCTGTGTGCTGGAAAACTGGTCCACAACAACGGAGATTTGGGACACACTTGGCCCTCTGACACTGTGGCCTCCCACAGCCTCCTCCCTAGCCTCATCTCTCCCTACCCCTACCTGATCCACTGTTCTGGGCTCTCAGCCTTTGCCTTGCCTCCCCTCCCCCCTCCCCCCATTTCACCCTGCTGAGCAGGTGCATAGAGCCTCCCGATTCCTGGTCACCCCCATGTTTCTGCTCCTCCTTCTGGTTCCCGTGCACTTTGCACCTCCAGGTCCAGCCTCTACCCCGGCCCACCCTGCACTTTGCTTCTCCAAGTGGCTCTCGCTCCCTGGGGACAGGAGACAGGTCCACCTCGTCCCTGGGCCCTACTCAGAGCTGGAGGAGTGTCTGGAAGGGTGAGGGGGCATTGCTGTGTTCTGAGCGAGAGGAGGGAGTCCATGGGTGTCATAGTAAGTGGGCGGGGGGGGGGGGGAGAAGGAGCCTGTGGGTGGAAGCTGGAAGGGACAGAGGGTCAAAGAGAGGAGATTCCTAAGAACACGAGTCACAGTTTGCTGGGAGTTCAGAGACAGGAAAACATGGACCGGGCCCTGGAGGCCCTGGAGGGACCGCTGGTTACATCCCCCAGGAAGCCTCTGCCTGAGTCTCTTCCTCTTCAGGACAGGGCTGTTCTAACGGACACAAGAGGTATTGTGAAGGCGCTCTGTGAACTGTAAAGGGCCGTGCTCCCGTCACACAACAGCAGTGTTTTCCGTGGAGTCTGCACTTTCTGAGCGGTAGAGGCTATACCTGTTGAAGCCAACTGGGAGCTGGAAGCCCAGGGCCCGGCGGCCTCTTACCTGCTCCCGCGCTGCCACCTGCTGGCGAGTATCTGCAATGACAGCAGGAGCCCTCCCGCCGGACCGCAGGCCCTTCCTCCCCGGGCGGGGCCGCTGTGGCCGCAGATCCCCAAGGGTGCAGGAAGGCGGGGCTGGGAGGAGTCCCCGCGCTAGCCCGAGCAGACTCCAGTGCAAGAGTGCAAATGGAAGGCCCTTCATCCCTTTGCAACCCCACCTTGGCCCTTCACAGCCTTGGCCTCTGCTCTCACTGTGAAGGTCCTCGTGTGGGCAAGGAGCACACGCCTCCTCGCAGCCACTCTGCACACCAGCAGTGCAGATAGACCCTGGAGTGGCTGGTGCAGGACTTCTGGAGTCCCAGACACTTCAAGCACGGTCTAGGGGTACCTGTGAGCTCCAGAAGGCAACCCCCCACCCCCACCCAAGGTGTGGAATCCAGGTATCTTAGGTGGCAGTGTGGCTGAGGGACCAAATCACCTGGTTGGCCTGGGATGGTCCCAGGTTTAGCACTGAAAATCCTGCATCAGGACAGGTGGTCACCCTGTGGTGGCCTTGGAGGACCAAACCCTCTGCATCACCATGTTGGCTCCCCTTGGACAGTCTGGACTCAGAGAACCGAACTGGCCTCTAATGGGGTGGGGACCTCTCCTTGGCCAATGGAGCTTCTCATACCATCGCTTTCTCTGGCCCCACGGCCCCAGTCCCAGGCACTCAGTCCACAGATAGTGTGTGAGTGTTGAGGGATTTCCCATCTTTCCCCATTCTGTGAACCAGTCTCCAGGACTTCTGAGGCCTGGGGGCTGGTGTGTGAGGTTGGGATGAGGGTGGAGAATAGGTTTGGAGGGACTTCTTTTGAAACAACTTCTCATTTTACAAGGAACGGAGGCCTACAGGAGAAGAAACCTGCCCCAGGCCCCTGAGGGAGAGTTTGCTGCTGGTTGTTAGTGGCCACCCACGTCCACCGCCCCTGCCCTCCTTGCTCCATGCCTGAGAGGAAGCCAGCCTCATCCCCACTTCTAAGGCTGGGACCCAGGGTCCAAGCAAAATCCCACTGGAATTGGCTCAGCCTTGAGCACCAGACCAAGTTGGCCCCATCGGAAAGGATACCTTGGCTTTTGTTTTGCAAATGCAAGATCTTGAACAGGAAACAAATAAATAAAACCCACCCAGTGCTGGTGCTTGACCAAGACAGAGAGACAGCAAGTGCACAGAAGTTGGTAGCTATTTATTGCACTGAAAACACCAGTAAAACAGACACCCCTTCTTCCCCCCTCCCTCCCAGTAGCAGAAGTTTTGAGCAGTGGTCATTCAAGTTCACAGCCACATATTTAAAAAAGAAAAGAAAAGAAAAGAACTGAAACAAATCCCCAAACAAATAGTAACAAAGAAACCAGCACGGGGAGTCTGGCAAACACATCCCCCAAAGGGTCTCCCCTTGGGAGACGGGAGGCCGTGGGTCAGGATTAGCGCTACAGTGTGCACGATCCTGGGAGAACATGTTCCTATAGAGGTGTTCGCATGCTGGAGCCTGGGTCTGGTCTTAGGTCTGGATTTTTTGCATCTACAGGATGTTTTTAGAGGAGCAGAGTTTCACTGACTGGTGGGGGTGGGCCCTGGACCACTTTGTCTGCCAGCCTCCCCTGCGTGCTGCCTCAGGATCATGCTGGTGCCCTGTGGTCCACACTGGCTGACTACCCACCCACTCACAGGAGTGTCCTTCTTCATGGGGCTGTTTCCTCCTGGGGTAGGAACCTGCCTCCATTTCTCTGGCACTTGGAGTGGGACACAGTGGATAGGAGGCATGTCAGCAATTAAAAATCAGGACTTTGGGGTACTCCACTCAGTTCCCCCTGGCAGAAAAACCCAGGGCCAGACAGGAAAAGCAGGTCTGATCAGAACTGGGAATGGAATCCTACTAAACCCCAAAGCATGGCTCTTTCCCCACGGTCCACTGCTAACAAGCAGTTGACAGGCACCAAAGAGGGGAATGAGGGGCAGGTGGCAGAGTGGAGGCGGGCTGGCCAGGCCCAGAACGAAGCAGGAATCCAGCCGGTGGCTAACCCTGTCAGTTCTCACAGGTATATTGGGCTTCACTTGACCTTCCCGCTTGATCCCCCATCAGCCCTGCAACATAGATTGGGCAGGAATATTTAACCCTTTAACTGATGGGGAAACGGAGGCTGAGAATGGGACCAGACTTGGTCTGGAATTGCAGCATCCCCTGTGAAGGCCACACCCTCACCTTTGGCTTGGGGACTGCTGTGGGGGCCCCTGGCAACTCGCAAGGGAGGCGGGCAGTTTTGCTGCTGGGATGCTGGGATCGCTGGGCCTCGCTGGGAAGCCCTCTGGACCCGGGGCAGGGCCAAGTTCCTGCCCCTGGGCCTCGGCAGCAGGGTGTGTGCCAAGGATAGAGGCCGGTGATCAACCAGTCTGGAGAGCAGGAAGCCCAGGCAGCCTCTTTCCTGGCCTGCAGCCCCAGCACAGCCCGCCTCACCTGTCCCCAGGGCAGCAGCAGACATCTCAGGACCAGGGAAAACTCAGCCCCGGATCGGACATCCCCACCAGTCCTCCAGCCAACACCCAGGACTCCCCAGAGGTTCAGGGGATCCAGCGCCTCCTCCAAATCCCTGGGGATGTGGCTCTTCCTCCCCTAAAATCCTCCAGAGGGGACAGTATCTCATGCTGGCAAAACACGGCCACACAGAGGCCAAAAGCACAGAGAGGCGGCAACATAATTCCGAGTCGGACACTGAGAATACAACCTCTATTTTTTTTTTTTTTGTCCAAAACATGTAGATTGGTTTTGCTGAGTGTTTTTTCTTCTTTTCTTTTTTTTTGAACATACTTACTGCATATAAAGTCATGCAAAGAAAACAGTGCAGACAGTAGATCCTAGTGGATGTGCCAACGCATTCCACATCAGAGTCAATCCCGAGGAAGAGGGAAAGAGAAAGGAAAAGAAAGAGAGAGAGATTTGAACCCACGGCTGCAGGACGAGGCATGAAGAGGAGAAATTCTAGTGCTCTGCTTGGACCAGCAGATGCGGAGGGGAGAGGAAATGAAGACACATGCTCGTGAAACCCCCGAAAGCTGGGGGGAGGGCTTGGGGGGGCACACAGATGCGGTGGGATGAAATCCTGGGAAGCTGGGAAGCATCCTAGTAGGAACCTCAGTTTGGGAGGCAAGCAAAAAAAAAAAAAAAAAAGATATTTCCGTCCTGACAACCTCCCCCACTCTCTCTGCCCTGATTTGCTGTTTCTTAGCACTAACATCTGGTGTTTCTACAGTCCTGGGAGGAACCTGGAGACCAAAATGTCAGCGATGCCCTTCCCCCCAGGACTGAGTCCACCTCGGCCCCAGATAATAACCACAGGTGACAGAGGGCATCTCCGAGATGACGTTAAAAAAAAAAAGACCTAGAACGGAAAGAAACTACCCCTCACCCCTCAACCCATCCTGACCCTCCTCACCATAATTTGAGAGGCTTGGTTATTACATAAATATCCATTAACGCAAAATCGATTTACGAAACACACAGAGGTTTGGCTATAAAAAGGCATGCGGTCCAAGTAGAAGTGGTACCTAAACGTTGCCTTCTTTGCCCCCGCCCCCCAGAAGCAATTGGATTCTCTCCCTCGGATGGGATGGAGCTGGAATTCTCCAGGACTGATAGAAGGGTGGAATGGGCATTACTTCTGGAGGTAAACGTCAGCCGAAGGCAGAAGGAGAGGGTGGGGGCACCCTGAGAGGATCGTGCTCCACACACTGAGGGGGAGGGGTCCATGGGGACGAGAGGACAGGCCAGGGTGGGAGAAGAGCCAGGAGGCTGTGCAGGTGGGGACTCCTGGCGTCTGCTCCTCTCTCACCTTCTCCCACGGGGGAGGCTGGCTCAGGGGTCTGGGGGGGCCCTGGAAGGGAGAGACAGGGAGATGGGGGGCAGATGCCACATTCCTCCTGATTCCGCCTCTCTTTCTCCTTCGCCCATGGGGGACACACAGTTGGGCATTCTGGCCTACAGCCAAGGCCGGGCCAGGCTGACAACAGCCAGGAGTAAGGGGGGCAGTCCTCGGAGCCAGCACCCAGGGCACCCAGGCCTGAGGAAGCCCCGCCCTGGCAGGGGACAGAGAGCTAGAGAGGCAGATGGTTGGTGGCAGGGAGATGTGGCCATTTGCTCGGAAGTCGTGACAGCTTTTGGGAGCAGGCGGGTTTTCTTGACGCAGGTGTGGCGGTGATGGTGACGATGGTGGTGGTGGGGGGGTGACGTGATTGGGGGAATTCCAGCAAAATCCAAGTGGGAGAACCAGCAGCCACATTCCATGAACGAAGAGTAAATCTCTGTGGTACAGGGTCCCCAGGCTGGTCCTTCAACTGTAAGAAAGGGTAGGTGTGGTGGGGAAGGCGTTGGGGGGGTGGTTCTGAGGGTGGCAGGTTTTCCCTGTGCAACCACCCTGCTCCAGTCCTTAGATGGGGTTGAAGCTGCTTCCGGTGGATCCCCACCCCCACCCCCACTCCCCACCCCCACCCCCCAACCTGCCGGTCTGGTCTCCTCCCTGTGGCCCTCTGGCCTCCACCCCGTGGCCTTCCAGCAGCCAACTTCCCCATCATGTCCCCCTGCAGACCGACACCACCCCATTCCTTCAGATTGTCCTAGATGCCAGATGGCGGGAAGGAGGGGCTCTTACTGGGGCAGGACGGAGGGCGCCCCAGATCTGTGGAAGTGGACAATCTGCCATTTGCCGTCCCGGCGGTGCCAGACGCGGGTCTCCTCCGACTGGGCCGTGCGGGGGATGCCACCTGCATCCAGGTACTGCGTGATGCGGATGTAGGCGATGCAGGCCGACTCGTCGCCCATCAGATGGATATGGGGGTTCAGGATGGTGGTGTGCACAGGCTTGCTGTTCCGAGACCACACTGGAGGTGGGGATGGGAGGGGGCAAAGGAGATGCAACTGGGGGCCTCCTGCGTCCCTTCCTTCACTTCCCCGTCTCCCAGCGACCCTCTCAGCAGAGGCACCCCCGCCTGCCTCATTTCCACAGAAGGGGTCTCTGTGACAGGGCCCAGCTAGGAGTCAAGGCAGAACTTCTAGATGGCTAGAGCAGATCCCAGCTTAGAGACCAGGGATCTCCGACATGCCAATTCTTTAAAATACAGGGGAATGGGAGTTTAGAATCACGGTATCTCAGACACACAGAAGTATAGGCCTATGATTGCAGAATCAGATGAACTTAGACCAGAGTCTCAAACCCAGATTCCCCACGGAGGCCAGGCAAGTACATAAACGAGGCAGGTGAGCGAGGGCTAAGATGCTCAGTCGTGGCAGACCGTTTGCCTGTGGGTCAGGGAGTGATGGGGGGGCGGGGGGAGCCGTAGTGAGTAGCACACTCTAGCCCACCTACAGAGGGCTCCCTGCACACACCTCCCTGCTGGTTGCTCTGTGAGTAGCTGACCCTTGAACAACGAGGGGGAGGAGATTTAGCGGCCACCCCCCCACCACACACACACACTTGAAAATCCACGTAGAGCCTTTGACTCCCCCAAGATTTAACTGCTTGTAACCTTATGTTGACTGGAAGCCTTCCCAATAAGAGCAACAGTTGATTAACTCACAATTTTGGATGTTATTTATATTACGTGCTATATTCTTACAATAGAGTAAGCTGGAGGTGAGAAAATGATATTAAGAAAATCACAAGGTAAAATCTTAAAAAAAAAAAAAAAAAAGGGCAGCCCAGGTGGCTCAGCAGTTTAGCGCCGCCTTCAGTCCAGGGCTTGATCCTGGAGCCCCAGGATGGAGTCCCATGTCAGGTTCCCTGCATGGAGCCTGCTTCTCCCTCTGCTTGTGTCTCTGCCTCTCTCTCTCTCTCTCTCTCAAGAATAATAAATAAAATCTTTAAAAAAAAAAAGAAAATCATAAGGAAGAGAAAGTACATTTATAGTACTGTGCTGTATTTATTGGGGGAAATGTGTGTGTGTATAAGTGGGCCCACACAGTTCAAACCTATCTTGTTCAAGGGTCAGCTGTAAGGGGAACGCACATTGCCACACCTGATATTTCAGGAGAGTCTAGAAGTCTGGATTCTTATGTGAAAATACCTCATTTTTATTATTGGCATCTAATTCAAATTTAAAACAACATGCAGGCCGCATGAACCATAGGTGCAGTCCAGATATGGCCTGGGGACCCCTGATGCATCGCCCCTACTCCTGACATACGGAATTATGGAAATCTGACTGATATTAAAATTGTAGAATCTTAGGATCTTGGAATTTTAAGGATGGAATCGGTGGTCATGGAGTGAGGTCATGGAGTTTGCCAGAGTCAGGTGGAAATGCATAGCTCTTGTAATCATGACAGAACTGAGAAAAATACCTGAAACTAGCTTTCTCTATGAAAAATATGAACCACTATTATTATTATTATTATTATTATTATTAATTATTTTGGTTCTAGGAACCCTCAATTTTTTTTAGCAAGACGGAAAACAAAAGCACAGAAAGACAATGACCCAGGGAGTGGCTGGACAGGGGTCACCAGGGTCCTGGGATTCAGAGGAACCCTCAAGGCTTCTCCTAGTGTAGCTCAAATGTAGATCCACATCCCCCAGAGAACTGACTTAAAATATACACTTCCCACCTCTGCTCTTAAAGGTGACAATTCAAAAATCTATACTATTAAAAAGCCTCTTTCCCCTGTCCCACCCTCCAATGCTGATGCCCAGCCAGGTTTGTGAGACATGGGTTTCCTAGAAAATGTAAAATGTCTTTTTGTTTTCCCCAGGACTGCTGAAAGCATCCCTCATATTATGATCACGCCTGACCTAGGCTTTGGCTACAAACACCAAATCACTGAATCTTACAAATGTAGACTAACAGACTTACAACTTGGGGCTCTCTCGAAGAGAATGTAGAGCTTTTGCATTATAGGCTTGGGAGTGACCTCAGAGGTCACCCAGTGGCCCTCCTACAAAATGCGAGGAGGTCCCTGTAAGCATCCTCGACTGCACCCAGGGCTGGAGGGACTCAAGACCATCCAGTTCAATGCATCCACTAAACACATCTGGAAACTGAGGTCCGGAGAAGCAATCTGACTTGTCCCAGGCTGGGCTACTTTTCTGAAAGAAATGCAGTAGAACCTAAAAGAAGTCAGTGTCCAGATGGGACTAAATTAGGACAATCTAGAACAATCTCAGAAGAGACAAACAAGCTCAGCATTGTTGAGGGCACTGGGCCTTGCTGTTCTTGGCAAGGGCTGGGGTTCTGGGGGACATTTATAAAGAAATGACCATCCTAATGTGTGTCTCTGAATAGACTGTAGCCTTCTAACAGCCACCCTTGTGGGGAGCGTGGGAGGCAGGGCCAAGTCCTCCAGCAGGGAAAAACAGGCAGGGTGGTGGGACTTGGCCCGGGGCAGGCAGTTGCTCTGGGTCTTACACTCATGGGTCCTTTGGCATTCAAACCTCGAGTTCAGGGGGCCGGTGTTGTGATGGGGACCATTTGGATGCAGGCCAAGAGCTAGTTCAGCCTTCTCTTTGTGTTTATTTTCCTGTTGCCATCTCTGAGCCTTTACAGCCAGCTCAGTGGGGACTGGGGAGCTCACTGCGAAATCAGCACCTGCAGGGGACAGACCCATATAGAGGCAGCCATGGTGATCAGTCAAGGAGCTCCAGGGTCATGAGAACCCTTGGGGTCCAGCCACCTCTCTTCACATGAGAATTTAACCTCCATTGCCAGCCTTGGAGCATCAGAGTTTGATTAATCAAGGGGAAAGGCAATTTTCTTCTTTGGAGCTTTTTTGGGGTGCTCTTGGGCTCTGGTTGTCTATAAGGTACAGTCAGATTGGGTGCAGGCAGGAAAGAAGTGTCCAGCTGACGGCTGCTAACATGCAGGTGAGAAGAGGCAGCCCAGGGCAGGGATGGGGAGGGGTGAGTCAGGACTGGGTTCTGCCACTGACTTTCCAGGTTCCTTAGGATGAGTCACTTTCTCTCTCTGGGCCTCAGTTTCCCCTTCTGGGTGAGGTAGAGTTGGACTAGATCCTTTTTCAGTCACTTAAATGCCACCTTTGGTTTTGCCATCTACCTGCACTTCCTTCATTAAAAGATTTCCCTAAATTGGGGCAGCCCGGGTGGCTCAGCGGTTTAGCGCCACCTTCAGCCCAGAGCCTGATCCTGGAGACCCGGGATCGAGTCCCACGTCAGGCTCCCTGCATGGAGCCTGCTTCTCCCTCTGCCTCTCTCTCTTTCTCTCTCTCTCTCTCTGTGTCTCTCATGAATAAATAAATAAAATCTTTAAAAGGATATTTCCCTAAATCAATACACCTCATTAATTTATGTAAATTGATTTTAAAAGAAAACTGTCTAGTGCAATCAAGAATGAACAGCCAGTATCACAGAACACAAATTTAATCATGAGTCCAGCATAAATGAAATAAAGTTATGTAATTCTAGCTCCATGCTCTTGCCTGCAAGGGATCTGAGCCTGAGACTGCTCTCTCTTTGATGAAGAGGGAAATTAGGAAGCGTGGGAAGAGGTGTTCAACGAACGCCCAGCTGAGCCTCTGCTCCTGACGAAGCCAGACGTATTGAAAGAGAATTTAGAAAGGGACCAACTTTCTCACTGTGAGAACCAGTGCCGTTTCCACATGTGCCAGAGATCATCTTTGTGTCGGCTCAGTGGCACATGCCTCCCTTCGGGGTACCCCTGGGAATGCCACCTCTCAGGGCCTTCCTCTCGGTCCTGAGCTGATAAGTCTAACCTGCACGTGCTCTGCTTCGTCCCTGTCTGACCCCTGGCCAAGGCGAGACGTGGACACAGGCAGAAAGCGCTCTGGGTCAGGCCCAGCCTCAGCCCCCTGACAGCCCCTGCTTGCAAAGCTGCCGGGGTCTCTCCCACAGAGGAGAGGCCGAGGAAGGACAGACATGCGGACAGAGACCTAGACAAACAGGCAGGGGCACAGCAGTGTGAGCTCGGCTCTCCTCCTCTTCCCAGGACTGACCACCTACAGGCCTAACAGCCCACCAGCCAGCTTGTGACCAGTTGGACAGTCAGGGTGGCCCCAGGCATCTAGATGGCTGTGATGGGGTGCATGCCCAGCAGGAAGGCTCTCTCATCTGTAAACCGGGAATAAAAGCCCTCCCCTCGCCCTCCCAGGGGCAGGGGCAGGGGCAGGAGAGGGCTGGGAGGGCTTGTCACACTTGTCCCAGGTCCCCATCCTCAGCCCCAGGAGGGACAGCTGGCAGTCGGACGGGCCCGGGTTATGAGAGGGAACTGAGATGGTACCAACCCCTGTCCACACGGGATCTTCCTCTTCGCTGGCTCCTGAGCTGCCCCGGGGGCCCTGCCCGTCACCCTGCTGTGCCATCCGGCAGGACATGGAACGCGAGCAGACAACAGGCACCCCAGAGAGAAGGGATTGCTCACGGTTTTCAAAATAGAATCGATGGAAGTCCAGGCCCTCGACCAGGTTCCCCAGGGCCTCAGGTTCGAAGGCTGTCATCCCAGGGTCACACATCTTCCTGGGGGAGGAAGTCAGAAGAAAGAGGGGTCGGGGTGGCCTCCTGAGGCCACCCTCTAACTCCAGGGGCCTAGACTGGAGGAGGGTGGGCCTGCCACATTGGAGGCATTGTGCCCACCTCACAGAATCAGTGGAGCCACTGGGTTGGAGAAGGGCTTCCAGACTGTACCTTGAGGCCCTCACCGCCCACTTGTGGGTGCCCATTTAGAACTAGGAAGCCTGGCTTCCAGTCCTGGTCCTGCCACTCACTGGCTACAAGGCCCCCAGCAGGTGGCTTCACATCACCCAGCAAGAGTGCCATGAGGGTCATGAAGCTTTGTGCGTGCGTAGCCCTCAGGCACTGGCTGGGCTAACTCGGCCCCTATGCTCCGCTCCAAACCACATCTCCTGGTCCAGGACAGAAGGGCCAGAGGGGCTTTTCCCAGTTTGCTTTCCTGGGGTGGGGTGGGGGACAGGTGGAGGTAGAGAGGACCTTTCCTTCACATGAAAGTAACTTCTGCTCTCAGAGCAGGCACGTCCCTGGACGGGTGCGTTTTGCTTCTTTAAAGCTTCCCCTTCTACGGGAGCCTCAGTTTCCTGTTCTGTCACATGAGGAAAATAGCCTTCCAGGAAGTCATGCTTGGGAGGAAGCCGTATATTTCCAGCACAGAGCTCCCTCCCAGGTGTCAGCCTCTTAGGAAACCTTGGCGGCCAGGCCGAGGGAGGAAAATCTGCCTCCGCCATCCCCAGGCCTCTGGGATCTGTGGCACAACACAGACCCTGGTAAAATGACAATGAGGTCCAGGACAGGAAGGACCTCGGGACAAGCAAAGATCCCACCCTGGGGGGAGGAGGGAATGGGAGGCCCTGGAGGACAGGCATCAGGCCCCGCATTGTCTGAGTTGGACATTGTGGTGAATGCAGGGCGCTCTACCCCTGCTCTTCTCTGACTGTCCTTTCCACGTGACCTCAGACAACTCAGCACCTCAGACTCTCTGAATGGATTAGCTGGGGGCTGGGAGCTCTGCTCAGACCGTATGAGATGCTCAGGACCCTTCAGTTCCAGAATCCTTCAAGGTTGGGGGTCTGAGCTCCAGGTGTCCGGGAGACTGGGTGCCCTTCCCTGGAGAAGCCCCTCCCCAGGAGGTCTCTGGGCCCCCTGACTCTGAAGGGACTCAGAGGTCCCCTGCTCCAAATCCATTATACTTCTAGGGATACTGAGGCCCCGTGAGTGAAGTTTCACAGGGCCAGACTCAGGGTACCTTAGGCTCCAGAGGTCATGGCACGGGGTCAGAACCTAGGGTAGGCTGCACATGCAGGAGAAAGGGACATCACAGAGGTGGGAGGGGGGGCCCCAGTAATGGCACGGCGAGGGGTGGGAGGTTTGGGGTTCCACAGAGGCCACCTCTCTTTCCCTCCCTCCGTGCTGTATCCTTCCAGAGATACTCTCTGGCTCTTTCCACGGCTGATTTAGCTCTTTTGAGGGCTGGCTGCAAGACCTGTTTCACGGCATGCTTCTGTGCTCTTCTGCTTTACCCAGGTGCACACGTGCACACACACCTGTGCACACCTCTTATGCACACAGTCACAGACGTGCATGTGTGGACAAGTGCATGCACACACGCGTACATGCGGTCTCAGCCTCACACCTGTACCTTCCAGAGTCCTTGTTCCTCCGACAGAAGCAGTGGATTGCTAGGGCTTTGCCACCTGCTGCTGCTGAAACCCTCCCACAATTAAAATGCACCTGGCCTGCAAAGCCTTTGGGAGACAAAGGCTTCCGGAATCCTCGGAATCCTCGGCTCTCTGGGACCTGCTTCTGCGCCAGACCAGGCAGTGTGTGGGTGGTCACTAGAGGGCGCTCCGGCCCAGCCTTTGCACACAGCCGCCCCTTGAAAGGCTGGTCCAGGTGGGCAGGGGACATCTCATACCATCTGTTTCATTTCATGTTATTTTTGGACACCCGCCCTTATTCCCCCAGAGGATTTAAGGTTCTGTTTTGAGGTTCTTTGGCTCACCCCTGCTCACTGGAGGACACACCCTATGGATTCCTGCCTGCTCCTGCCCACCTGAGGTCAGAGGCCCGAGGAGGTCCAAGGTGAGGAGCAGGCCCATGCAGCAGGTCTGAGGAGAGGCCCGCCTCCCTCCCCTCCTTCCCCGCTCATCTCCTGCGGAGGCCCATGCTGCGGTAGGGAAGCAAAGGAGTTTTGTTGGAGTTCCTCCTGGGGAACAAGACATGAGGAGGAGGACGAGGAGAGGGAGGACCGAGATACAGAGAAGTATTGTGAACAGAAAGCTTCATGAAAGCATACAGTCTGAATGCAACACAGAAATAATGAGTTCAGTCTGATTCACTGCACATGCAGAGGGAGTGAATGAGGGTCAGAGATGAGGACCCCCAAAGTTAGCCATCAGTGCCCCCTGCACAACAATCCAGGCAGGACATGCAGAATGGACCCAGCCGACTCACGTGTAGGACTCAAAATCTCCATTGCTTATGGCTTCAATCAGCTGCTCTGTCACTTTTATAATCTCCTGTTTCCGCACTGAAAGGCAGGAGGAGACACAGAGAAATGATAGTAATAGTAACGGAGCACCAGCTACCATTTTCTGAGTCCCTGTCATGTGCTGGACCCTGAGCTGGGACCTGAGGGCCTCATAGAGATGGTCTCAGTCAGCCTCACATCATCCTTGGGAGGTAGGTAGCATTGCTCCCATTTCACAGAAGCAGAAACTGAGGCCCAGCATAGGTGGGAAAAGACAGGGAAATCCCCCTCAGCTGCAAAGGGCAGAGCCAGCGTCCCCGTTGGCAGCTTTCGCCTCAGTGAAGCAGGCATGGCCGACGTTCTGACATTAGGCCTGATTTGAAGCCAGGCTGACTCCAAAATACGCTTCTCTGTCCCTTTGCTTTGCCACCTGAATCAAAACCAGGTCGACAGTGGTGGTTGTCACTAGCAGCCACAAAGCAGGGGCTCCCTCTGGGCCCACACTGGGGCCCCTAAGGAAGGTCTTAGGGCTGACTCATCCCTTAGGTCTGGGCAAGCTTTTTGCTCCATTTGGGTGCCTGTAGGACTTGGGCACTGACTGAGCGGTTCAGCACTTTCTAGGCATAATGAATCCCAGTTGCTGAGACCTGACCTCTCCCATCCACCACTGAAACATGACGAATAGCTGGTCTTTCTGGTAGAGGTTTAGGCGTCAGCTTTTGTATTCCATGTGTGCTGCTCTGACCCCAGTTTTCCCGTCTGTGAAGTGGAAACAGCACCACCTCTCATCCCTTCAGTGCCACACCCAGACTTGAGCACCGGACTTCACGTCTATCCCGCACAGGTCCCCTCAAGCTGTGCGACAAGGCCACAGGGCTGTTTCCCGGACCATCAGGTGGCGACAACGGCACCCCCCTCCCAGTAATGGGGTAATGTGGGATGAGGCAATGTGCACACAGCGCCTGGCACCTAGTAGGTACACATTTTAAGTGCTGCCATTTCCTGCCTCCTCCTATACAAGTTGCTACACCTGCTCCTCACAAACACCCCAGGAGGTTCGCGGGGCCAGTGCCCCTCCAATCCCATGCACTAGGAGATGGAGCCGGGTGTCCTGGCTCCCAGCAGAACTGTCCCACCAGAAGCCTCATGTGGTTCCCTGGAGCAGGCTCTCCCCACCATAGCCCCAAGCTTCACTTCAAACCCAGGCAGCTGGCTGGCCTCCGGAGCAGCTCTGGTGAGGTCCACGGGCACGCTGCCATGTCTCAGTCTGGGAGGGAGGGAGGGAGTACGCCTGGCTGAGGCCCTGTGCTTGACCCTTTCCTCACCACTCCCAGGACCACCCCACCCTGCCTGATGCCAGGGAGCTCACTGCAGGCCCAGATGCACACAAAATCCTGCACCATCCAGGCTGAAAGAACCTTTGGGGACCAGGGACTCAGCCTCCTTTTCAAACTATGGGGGTAATGGAGGCCTAGCAAGGGGTTGACTTGCCCAAGGACATAGACCGTCTTGGTGCAGAGTCTGGCTCCCACCCCAGGGCCCTTCCACAGGACCCCCACACCCCGCATGCTCCCTGACTGGTTAGGCCCATACACTTGTCTGTTTTTTTTTTTTTTTTTTTTTACTTGTCTGTTTCCTAACTCAGATACGTGCTCCATGGAAGCTGGGCCATAGCTGCCCTCATCCCACTGGATACCTGGACCAGGCCTGGCCCCCACAGGCGTTCATCACTGAACCAGCAAGTACACCAGGCATTGTGCCATGCGCTCGGCCTGCAGAATCTTGAAGCCTCACGGCACAACTTCATGTGGCTGTCACTTCCATGTCAGAGATGAGCAAACTGGAGGGGAGAGCGGTTGACTGGTCTGCTGTCGTGAGCTGACCCCCCCAGCCAGCGTTTGTGGCTCCAAAGCCCATCACACACTCCTCAGGGCAGGGGCCCTGTGCCCAGCATGGCTCCTGACACACGTGGGTGCTCCGTAGACACATAGGTCACCATCTTCAATGTCAGTAGCACAGTGAGGGGCTGAGTCTTTATCTCCTGGCTTTGCCAAGATTTGCCAGGGCTGGGAATGAGCCTGTCTTGGACTACGAGCTCGGCTGGTTAACTCCTGGGCCTTGCCTGGGGCGGGGGCAGAGGAGGCAGGAATGAATGAATCACTGGGTGGACTGAACCAGGGCCTGGGGCTGCTGTCTTCACACTGTGTGCTGGAATCTACCCAGTTGCCAGGTGGTCTCTGTCCCTAGGAGCCCAAGAGCCTGGCCTGTTGGCCGACAGGAGATGCCTCATTCCACGCCCACGCAGACTCGAGGTGATGATCCAGAGCGGGTCCACATGCTCCTGGCAGGTCATGGGACCTGCGCCACCTCCTTGTTTTCCCAGCACAGACTTCAAGATTCCTTCCAGCCTGACATCCCACGCACCTGTGCTTAATTAATACCCTAACTCTTACGGGCTGCAGCTTGCTGCCGCCTCAGAGGCTAGGAAAGAGGCATGGATTCTGGAACCGGACTCCCTGAGTTTGGATCCTGACTCTGCTACCAAATAACTGTGACCTTTGGCAAGGTATTTGCTCATGCCTCAGTTTTCCTCTATGCATAATGGAGCTTCTAACAGTACTTACTTCGCAGGGTGGTTCTGAGGACTGTTAAGGATGCATCAGTAGAAAAAATGAACACATACATGGTTCTCATAAGAACCGTCTATTGTTCCAAGCCCTTTCTATCAACTCATTTATGTCAATAATGATGCATCGTATAAAGCATTTAGGGCTGTGCCTGGCACTCCGTGAATAAGAGCCATGATCATTATCATCTGGAAATCTCTGAATTGGAAGTTCTCTCTGAGGACAGCCTCTGGTCGCTAGCCAGGGCAGGGATGCTTCCCAGCAGCCTGATATGCAGCCTGACATGCTGTCTGGCATCTCTCTCCCTTTTTGCCCACCTCCTTCTTCCTCTAAGTCAGACTCTCCCCTCTGAAAGCCCATTGTTATAATTCTCTTCCCCGTTCTGCCTTCTGGGGCCCCAAGGTGTGCACCTGCTTCCCCAGACCCTATGCCCTCCCCCTCTACTAGGTTTCTCTTTCTAGGGCTGAAAGCCTCCAGGATTGGGTTTGCGGGATCTGACTTAAGCTGGCCATCCACTCTTTGAGGGTCCTCAAGCTATTTAAATGCCTCAATGTGGTTTGAATACTGCAGAATATCAGGTCTGGAGGAGCACTCTATTCCCTCCCCAATTCTGGACACTATGCCTCTATCAATACATCCAGAAACAAGGCCTCACTTGGCTGTGCCTCTAGCCACTCAGGACATCAAGTCTGCCAGCAGTGGAAATCTAATGGGCAGAAATCTCCCTATCAGCTTCATCTCTGGGACAGAAGATCTGGGAATCTGGTGCTCCTTAGTTCTGGAGAAAATCACTCTGGTTTTGGGTCCCTCCCTTGCCCTCAGCAGTCCTGTTGCTGTGTGAGAGATTCATTCAACAACTTCTCGGTAGCCACTTCTGGCATTTCTCATCTGCCAGGTGTTCACCCCTTCAATCCAATCCAGGAGTGCTCCCAGACAGATGGGAAAGCGGAGGCCCCAGAGAGGTTAAGGTACTGTCTGAAGGTCACACAGCATGCTGGGGCTAAGATGGGATTGACATTCCTGACCGGTATTTTCCCAGAATGTCTCTGCCTAGATTCTGAGGCAGCTCTTTGGGTTGGGGAGGAAATTAATTTTTTATGGAGCTGACCAGTAGGAGGCAGGAAGTGGGAAGGAAGCCTAGCAGAGCCCTGTGCAGCTCAGAGGGCCAGAGTCCTGTGCAGTAAGCCCGAGGTGCTCTGAAATATTAATGTCTCTCTCTGTGCTCAGGGGCAAATGTTCCCTAGAGGGTGACATTTCTAATTAACTTGAATGTTAGGTCAGAATCCACCCCACCAGCTGCTATTCTCACTTAGTGAGCAGACTTAACAAATTAACACCAGAAAATGGTTTTTTTGAAACTTACTATGAGGCCTGAAGAAGCTAAGAAGCTGAGGCACAGAGCTCCTCTCTCCTGCCAAACACAGGGATGAGCTCCTGGCGGAGCCTCTTTCATCAGACATGGCCTTTTACATGTGGGAGACTGAGGCAGGGAATGGGGATCCTGGTTCTGCCATTACTAACCTGGATGCGCCTGGGCCTGATTTCCCCTTTCTGGAAAAGGGGCACAGCTCAACGAACACTTTAGACTTCACAAATTTCCCCATCCTGATCTCTCTAGAGCAGAGGATGGTGACAGCAAATGTGGGGCCTCAGGGATGCCACCCAGAGCCAATACTCCAGGTGGAAAGTGTCTTCGATGGGTCACATTTACATTTACAACACAGACAAATTTTGCATACCTTTCCAAATATTTCTCTAACATATAACCATCTGTCTTAAAATAACCTTTGAGTAACATGGATGCTCCATAAAAATTTCATATGGCTTCCTGTCATTCAGCTATAAGCTCCAGTTTGAAAAAAAGAAATTAAAATGTGTTAAACCATTACCAGTGCCAAATACTGTGAGACCATTTTATACGCAGCCTCTCATTTCATCCACACAGCAATCCTCTGAGACTGATACTGTTGTCATCTCTTTACTAAAGGAAAACTGTGGCTCAGAGAGGTAGAGTAAGTTGTCTAAGGTCACCCAGCAAAGGGACTGCAGTGAAGAAGCACAGAGCCAGTTCACCTCTATGATCCCTGTCTGCTCTGAGACCAGCATTATGAGGCCACAACGAGTCTTTTCAAAATCCCAGCGCCTCTTGTCACAAGGACAGAGAGCGTCAAATATGGGGAAAGTCTTGGATATGCCGTGTCTTGAGCCACCACAAATCAGAGTCCACAGGCACAGGGCTGGGAATGTGGTTGGAAAACTGTACCTGAGGGACTTAGAATGCACACTTGACCCCAACAGGAGTTTTTCTTCAAGATAATCAGTTTTTAAAGGTTGTCCCTAAGGACACTTGGGTGGCTCAGTGGTTGAGCGTCTGCCTTCTACTCAGGGTGTGATCCCGGGGTCCAGGACCAAGTCCTGCATCAGGGTCCCTGCAGGGAGCCTGCTTCTTCCTCAGCCTATGTCTCTACCTCTCTCTCTGCATCTCTCATGAATAAATAAATAAAATCTTTTTAAAAAATTAATAAAGGTCGTCTCTGGTGCCATCGTCCAAGACCGATTTGCTCTAACGCCAGGCTGTGGTGCTAGAGTGACCGCCCCCGCGCCCTGCTCAGAATGACTACATAGGGACACACACAGGGTGAGGCCGAACTTCCAAGGCATCTGGGCAGAGTCAGGAGGTAGTCACGGTGTTCAGTGTGTCAAACTGCCTTTAAAGGTGGAACTGCAACTGTGTGCAAAAATAGCTGTTACGTAATAATAAAATGCTCTTTGCCCCTCCATTGTACTCTTTTAGGGACCAACATCTAAACAGAGAAATGTCTACCCTGGTACAGCTGCAATCCCTCCAGGTCAGTGGTGCCTTTCTAGGTTGGAGAGACTCCCCAGGTGTCTCCCACACGTGCTGAGTGTGAGACACCCCCCACCCAGCCCCGCCCAGGCTAGTGTCCCTATCCCATGGGACAAGGACGGCGGGTGTGGGCAGAACCACAGGACATCACTAACTCACCCAAGGATTTGGTGTCCCCTGAGCAGACGGTGACACTCACCCTTCCTCCTCCAACTCCAAGCATGCTTGCCACTCACCGAAGCCTTTGAGGCACCATTACCAGGTGGGCCCCGGACCCACACTGCTCCAGGATTCAAATCCTGATTCCACCCTGTGAGGTAGGGGACCTCGGGCCAATTTATACAACCTCTGTTTCCCAGGCTGTAAAACAGGCTTGATCACAGAACCTACTTCCCAGCTCAGGTAAATGTAAAGCGCACACCAGGTGTCCCGCAAAAGGCAGCACTCTCCCTGACACCCTCCTCATTCGTTCTGCTCTTAGCTGGTCATAGTTATCTGGAGTTTTGCTCCCTCATCCATCAGAAACCCTTTGGGGACTGTCAGCCACTGGCCACAGTAACCCCTGCACGTCGGGGTTGGTCTTGGGCAATGCTCCTTGTACCCCAGTCAACTGGATTTTCTGAATTTTTGCTTTCTCTTCCTTTCCTGTCATCACTTCATGTTTCTAGAATCAACTCATTTTTAAAATTAATTTTAATTAATTAATTTAATTAAATTAAATTAATTTAAAATTAATTAATTAATTAATTTTTAAAGTAAGCTCTATGCCCAACCTGGGGCTTGAACTCACGGTCCCAAGATCAAGAGTCTCATGCTCCACCAACTGAGACAGCCAGGTGCCCCTAAAATCAACTCGTTTTTTGGAAAATTCAAAAAGAAAATGTACATACCCCTATGACACATCTGTGACTTGAATATGTTCATTTCCCCCCCCAAAAAAGTGTACTAAACTACCTACATCACCCCACAATAAGAAAAGTCCATGTGCACACCACTGGTGGACTGAGTACCTCACGCAGGGAACCAGTGCCCTGCAGTGTGCCCAGTCTGCAAGGGGCTACAGCCGGGTCTCTGCGGAGGAGCAGGACACACGGTTGGCACTGGGGCCCTTTCAAGCCGGAGCTGTCAGTGAAGGGGGCCTGCCGGGAGGCCCGGGGGGCCCAGACGCTGAAGGCAAGGCCCCCCCTACCTTTGGTGTCTTCATCCTCAATGGTGGTGTTGGTACTCTCTGAAGATTCCTGCCAAAGAGAACACAGGAGCCGGTGAGGCCCAGCTGGCAAGTGGGACGAGGCACGGCCAGTTGGGGGGGCTGCCCCTGCCCCAGTTGCTGATGCTGCGGCCCGGTTTCTGTAAGCCTCACCGGCTCTGCCATCCAGATGCTGCCCTGAAAACCCTGCCAGACTTCCGAGCCTAAGGAGGGGAAGGGCCCAGCTAAGCAGGTGGCTGGTGGCAGGGGGCGTGGATGAAGGGATGGATGCAAGGAGAACCCTGGCCTTTCTGGAAGGGCTGGGAGGGCTCCCCGGCCCTGTCTGCTTGAGGGAGCAAAGAGGGGGTGTGGAAGAGCAGAGAGGCATATGGTGGCCACAGGACAGGGAAGGAATACACACACTGGCAGAGAGGAAGAGAGAGAGGTGGGGAGACCCAGTGTGAGAGAGGCTGGGCCTTTCAGCGGGAGAAAAACCACACACCTGGGGGAGACAGCCATGGGATCAGAAGAAGAGGGATGTGGGCCACCATGCCACCGCCGGAACCCCTAGACAGAGGCAGGGGCTGGTGCCTCCTCTGCCACCGGCGGGCCCTGGGTAGCGTCGAGAAGCTCAAGATGGGCCTCTCTGGCGCCCACTCCTTTGGCCAAACCAAGCCCCGCCTCCCCACTCGCCGCAACTGGCACAAATCAAGCCCTGAGATGAGTTCCAGAGCAGAGGGCGGGGAGAAGCAAGAAGCCAAGGGCTGGACGTGGGATGGGCTTCAAATCAACCTGCGTACCTGAGGGCGTTCTCTGGTCTACCTGCCAGGCTGCTGGTCTGGGCCATGGAGTGGGAGGTGTCAACAGAAACACGCAAACAACACGCACACGCAACACACATGTTGTCACACAAGGCACACGTACCAGGCATGCCCTGAGCACCCTCTCCCCCGCCCCGGGTTCCCAATGCAGCCTGCAGGAGGGAGGCAGGAGCGAGGGTTCGAGGCCCAGCATTTTACCGGCGTTTGGGAGACGGCGGACACTCACCATTAACTGAACGCTGGAACTGGACTTTCTTTTCTGGAAAAACAAGGAGAAGAGATGGGACAGGAAAAGACACAGAGTGAAAACAGCAGGGAGCAGAGAAACGGCAGGGAGCAGAGAAACGGATGACAGGGGGAGGTTTGGAAGGATGATGGGCCTCAGGGTCATCCTCGACAGTCCCTCCCTTGCCAGCGTGGCACTGGGGCAAGAAGTCAGGGCCGTGAGCAAGAGCTGCCCTCGCAGGGCTGGTCCTCTCTCAGCCCGAAGCTCTTGTGGGGGGCCTCATGCACAGCCACCTGGGGCTCACCATCTGACCAGCAGCTCCAGGCCGAGCCTCCCCTGGACCAGGGCTTCCTCTACACCAAGCCCTGATGGCGGAAACAGATCCTAGGTTTTGGATACCAGTTGCCTAAGGCCTCTGGAAGCCAAATCTCTGACAGGACAAAAGGCTGCTCAGGTCTTGAGATGAGGCCCAGTGCCTCCTCCTAGCCTCCCCATGTGTCTCTACTGAAAGAGCCCCTCTCCTGGTTTGGTTGACTGTCATAGTCACTTGGGAAACTTGTCGAAAAGAAACATAACAAGGCCCCCTCAAGGGGTTCCATAACTAGGTCTGGGGTGGGGCCTGGGCATCTGGATTTTAAACAGTATCCCCAGGTAACTTCAAAGCAGGCCTGGGTGTGGAAACCAGTCCTCTAAGTGGCCTTCGAAACCCTGCCTGTGGTCCCAGCTTCCTGGCGACAGGCCCGTTCAGTTCCTTTACACCGATCGAGAAACTGAGGTATGGCCAGATGCACAGCTGGGCCCTGCCATCCCTCCTAGTCCAGCTTTTGGAGGATTTGCAGCTTCGTTTGTATTATTGGCTGTGGAACCAAGGGAAGGAGAGAAAGAGAGAGGACACATGCAGACTGTCTTCTCGTTCTCTCACTCTAAGCTGGGAGTCGTAAAGATCAGCCCTCAGGGAAGGCTGCGGGTCTAGGACTGGCCCTTGCATTGCATTGCACGCAAGGGAGGCTGGGGCCCAGAGCCAGGCAGTGACCGCCCGAGGTCTCCCAGCTAGCCGGCAGCGGAGCAGAGGCTGGAACCCCCAAGGGCAGGCTTTCTCCTCCATCCAGGCCTCCAGGCTCCAGGCCTGAGTGCTCTGCACAGGCTCATCCTTCCCGGACACGCTCACCTCTGAGAGGCCTGGAGGCTGTTCTCTTTGCTGTGCTGTGGGGGGGAGGAGCAGGGAAAGGACCTGAGATGCCCTCAGGGTGGGCCTTTGTCCCGGGGGAGGCCCTGGCTATTCTCTGAGGATCCTTAGGTCTAATTCTGGGCCTTCTGACTCTAAGATCCAGAGCCTCTGAGGGCCTGGAGCCTCCCACAAACAGCAGAAGGGGCTCACTGGGCGTTGCCTGGCATCAAGGCTCCGGGTCCCTACATCTGGATAGACAGTGTGAGTCCCACCGCCAGCAGCTTGCAGCCAGCCCTAGCTCGGCCTCACTTCCGGCTGGGCACAGCGTACGTGGGAGGGGATAGGCCCTCCCAGCTCTCCATCAGCAAAAACCTGAGGAACACAGGGGCCAGGGTTCCAGGCGGGACACGAGGAGGGAACACAGAGCAGAGACTGCATCAGATTCGAACATACAGTGACAGGATGGGACATGGGGGAAAGGGGTCACGATGGCACGGATGGGACACCAACAGGGGGCAGTGAGTGGGGTTGAGGGGTGGGAGCAGTCAGCTGCTCCTCAGAGAAGTAGGGGCTTAGAGGTGGCTGGGAGGGGGCCGTCACTCCTCAGTAACAGAAAGACTCCATTTCCCTGGATCACGGATGATGACGATACTAATCATAACCCCACACTGACCGGGGTCTTTCACCAAAAGTAGAGTCACATGTCTCAGAACCATGTGGAGAAGCATGGGTCTAGGGTCAGCGAAGCCGGTAGAAATAGAGTCAAAATTAGTCTCGAAAAGCCCATAAAGTACAGTACTCTGCAGCTCTGCTCTCCAACCAGCCCATCTTCCCTCCAGCAATCACTGGGCCTCCAGCTAAGCTTCCGACGAGGTTGGTGGTGTCTCTAGGGACCAAGCTGTAAGAAGAATACGAACTTCCCCATGGGGGCTGAACATGGATAGGCTACCGGAGGGCCTGGTGGGACTCCCCAAGGCCCACTCCGGTGCGAGCCTTACTGGCCCCAGCGAACACCTGCCATTCTCCCCTTGTACAGATGACCCAGGTGCACAAAATCGATGACCCAGGTCTCCAAAGGAGGGGAAGATGGGACCCTGCAAACCCACGGCTTCTTGGCTTGAGGTCCAGCGTCATTCATAGTGAAATACACGATGGAACCCCCTGCCCAAAGGGACATATTATAGGCTGGGCTCCCCAAATCCTGGTTGCTGTCGTCTTCCAGCTGGACTTCCCTCCTTCTCCACCCCCATAAAGGGCAAAGAGACGGTCTGCCAGGAATAGCCTTTGGGGAAACTATTCTTCATCCACACCTGCGCCACCCTGAGAAGTCACTCGGGGTCTGTCCTGCTGCTGCAGGAAAGAGTGGCTTTCTCTTCTGCTGTGCCCACTGGTAAGCCCTGCAATGACTGGCCAGAGTTCCACCACGCTTGGTGATGCCCTTGCCTTCAGGTAGCCTCTGCCTCTTGGCCTTGCCTGGAGAGGAGCCAGAAGAGAGCTTCACCCCAAGACCCAGCCTGAGGGAGGCCCTGACCTCACACCCAGTGGCTGCATGTCAGCCCTTGCCAGGGCCACACCTAAGAGCCAAGCAGATGGCGTAGCCCACCCTCTGCCCCCTCCTCCTCCACTGACCTGGGCCACAGCCCACTGGCACCTGTGGCCTCTGTCCTATACTCCCAATATGATTTTTTTCCTGGGGAACCCAGCACCCCCAGTGTCTACACACTATGGCCAAGAGGGCCCCAGTTGCTCCAAACTGGGCCAACCTCAAATTGCACATTCCCCCCATTACCCTTTCCAATTAGACAGGGAAGAGAATTTGACTCATGGGTAATCCAAAACAGCAAGTGAACCAGAGCTCAGTTCTGGACTCCATCATAGGATTTGGGATAAGCGTGGGTTAACTTTTTAAACTGGGTTGGCTTTAGATCTGTGTTGCCAAATACTTCCTTGATCAAACTTTGTTTTCAAGAGGAATCTTACTTGAAAGTCCAATCTAGAAAACAGAAAAGACAATGCTGACTAGCATCTCATGAGCATGTATCCCACGCCAGTACCCCTGCTAACTCCTCAATGCCTATTATCTTCCTTCATCCTCACAAATAGCCCTGGGAGGTGGGAATCCCTTTTACCCCCATTCGATGGAATGAGGAAACACAGGCTCAAGGGATTCAAATAACCGGCTGAGGTTTCCAGCTCCGCTAAGTCTGCCCTGGCTCCCTTAACCACTGCGAGGTCTGTAACACGGAGCTGCTCTGGCTGTAGTGGGCGAGCGAAGCCCAGAACCTTCTCTGCTCAGCCTCCTTACTATCCTACTCTACCCCATCCGCTGCCAAGGGTGCCTCCCCAAAACGTTCAGACTCCAAGAAGTTCAGTTTGAAAACCACTGACTTTGGCTGATAAACAAATACTTATGTATTCTTCAAGTACCCACGATGAGAAGGAAAAGGGATTAGAGAGAGTTTTATTGCCTTTTTCTTTTTCTTTTCTTTTCTGTTTTTAAAGCTTAAATCTTAGAAATCATGAAGTCTACCCCCCTCCCACCGCATCCATTGTACCTATGAGGAAACTCAAGCCCCTGGAAGGCTCAAAGCAATGGGGAGGCCCAAATCCTGCCCTCAGTCAGTCACCCAGTCCAGACCCCCCTCCCATGCAACCCCCAAACCAAAGCCAGTGGCCTGAGACCATAAATAGCACTACAACGAAGCCATGAAGCCATCAGCCCACCTGGGTGGCTGTGTTTGGACAGCATCCCACACCTTCCAGCATCCTGGGCACAGCCCAGCCCTGAGGCCCTGGCCAGTCAGGGCTCTGAGCCCAGAAAAAGGCAGGGTCTCAAGAGAGGAGAACCCACAAGGCAAGCCAGTGGCAGGGGAGAAGGGAGGTGCAGAGAGGGGGGGCAGGCCCCAGAGAGCAGAGGGAGGAGAAGAGAGAGGTGGGAAGGAGGGGTCAGCAGGGTGTGGAAAGAAGTAGCTCGGGCATCAGGGGTGGGGATGGAGGACAGGCCTGGGTTGGGGGAGGAGGGGACTCTTGGCACTGAACCGGCAGGCCTCGACAGGGGAGGGTGGGTGTCTCTGAATCCCAAAGCCAAGAGGAGTGGCTATCCTTCCTCCATGGGCTTTGTGGGTTGGACTGGGGTGCGCACGGGGTCAGGGGTCACGATCAGCTCTGTCTCTTCATTGTACCCTCACTTTCCGGTCCTCCCATCCTGGAGAACCACAGAGATCTCCTTCAGACCTGCCCCTTGCCTGGGCGCCCGCCCTATCCCCAGGCCACCTGCCTCGCCCATCTGCTTTAACGCCCCCCCTCCCCCTCCTGCCCCCCCCAATCCTGGGGACGGCCCGGGCCGCACGAGGGACGACATCTGCCCCATCTGCCCGGAACACCATGGGCAAGGCCTGGGCCTCGCCCCAGCCCCGCAAGCCAGGCCCTGTGGGCGGAAACGCTGCCGCCCGATGCCGGCCCTGCCAGGCCCCCGGGGGGCTTACCTTCACACCATCATTCTTTTTGTTTCCTCCACTCTTCCCTCCTGCGAAGGAGAAAAAGTAGAGGGTTACCAACACCAGGCAGGGCACCGAGGCCCACAGGGTGAGGAGCAGCAGCATGGGCACCGGCGGACGGCCGGAGCCGCCTCAGCGATCCGCGGGACACCTCCTCCTCCTCCTCCTCCTCCTGCTCCTCCTTCCTCCCTGGCGCCGAGGCCTGGGGGTGCCCGCTAGGTGGGCCTGGGCTCCCCGCTCCTCAGCAAGCCCCAGCGTGCCCCTCGGGCCCCATGGGTTGCGGGAGGTGACCGATGCGTCCCAGCCCCGTGGGGTCAGTGTCTCAGCCTGGGGATTCCCTCTGGATCCCGGTCACCGCCCGGGCTGGTGGCGGCCAACCCGGAGGCCTGGCTGCCTGGCCCGGGGCTGGCTTCTCCCTCCCCGCCCCAGCCCCGCTCTAATTTTAGCCCCACGCTGCTGCCGAGGTCATGTGTCAGCCCTGCCCACTCACTCTGGACAGCTGCGGGCCTTGTTTTGCCGGTGAGGAGAAGCAGATGCCCCGCTCAGGGGCCCACCCTGCCAGAGCACCCATCCCCTCCAGAGGCCTCCTCCCCTCAAACTTCAGAGCCCCACGGCTGGGCTGGCAGCTCCGTGGTGGCTGGGAAAGGCAGAGCAGCCCTCGGGAGGCCCCGCCTCTGTCATTCCTCTTTCTCTCCCTCCTTACCTCCTGGCCAGGGCCCTTGGAGAGGGCCGCACACGGCCAGGAATTGGCATGGATGCCCAGCCCTGCCTAGCGTCTGGCATCTGGCTGCTTCAGACCACAAACAATTGCCTTACGTTAAAGGAGACAGGGTATCTCTAAAGTGCTTAGCACAGCACTTGACGTGTATGCAGTAGATGCTCAGTAAATGTGTAGCCACTGTAAGTCCTCCTCCCGGTGGCCTGGGGATGGTGAGCCTGGGAAGAGGGGAGGCACGGGACCTGGATGCCCCAGAGGCTCTGAGGGACAGGCTCATGCTGGCCCAGCCTCCCAGTCCCCCTCACAAGTCCACCTGTGACCCTTCCAGGCAAGTTTCCCTCTTGCAGAGTAAATGCGGGGGTGGGTGTCTCTGGATCCCGAAGCTGAGAGGGATGGCTGTCCATCCTCTGTGAGCTTCGTGGGCCGGGCTGGGGTGTGCAGTGGAACAGGGGGAGTGGTCGCCCCTCAGCTTCAAGGGGGCCCTCTCAGCTCCAGCCCACGACTGCAGGACTGCAGGTTCTGTGAGGTCACGTGTTCTGAATTTCAAGAAAAGACAGAAAACTGGGTTTTTCTGTGAAATCTCATTTGTAATTGCTGGGGACTCTTTTCAAAAGCACCGCTGTTTTAAAAACACCCCTGGTCCCCATGAGCCCATCAAGAGATGGAAACTGACCCACGGGCACCATTTTGGGAGCTCTGAGTTTCCAGGGGCACTTCAGATGTTAAAAAAAGATTCTGACTGTCTGGGTGGCTCATGTTTCAGTCGAAGGAACGAACTGTAGGATCCTTGTCTGGGGAGAATGCGGTGGGGCGAGCCCAAATCTGAAGCTGCAGAGTTCTCATGCCTCTGGGTCTCATTCTTCCAGCTGGTTAATCTGGCAGGTAAACTCCCTGCAAAGTCAGAGCCATAGCTTCCCAGACCGACCCCTTGCTGTGGAACCGGCCACATGTCCACAGCAGCCCTAGCTGGCTGGCCCAGCAGCCCCAGTCAGAGGGCCCCTCGGGTGAGCTTTGCTATATCTGCTCAGCTGCCCTGTCAGCTGTCCGGTCTCCCCAGAGAGAAGCCTCTGGCAGGGGCTGGCCTGGGTGCTCTCCAATGTGCCAAGGGGAGCTTCTTGCTAAGCCATGACACTAATCCCTTCCTTTTTCTCTTTGGGGCTACACACTGCAGGTCGTTGGGTACTCCCTGTCTTAACCAGTCGGCTCTGGCCAAGGCCAAAGGTTGCTACCCCGGGCTCTCTGATGACCCATCTTGGTTAAGAGCACTTGCTCTGGGGTGGCGCAAAGCTGTACTGAAAGCAGGCTCTGCCTCTCTCTCAGGCCCCCACTGCCCTGTCACAAAGGCCACCTGGGTGAAAGCATGGAGACTGCTGAGTACAGGGCTCAGTACCAGCAGCAAACAGGAATATTGCTACTCCCTGGCCCTGGTTCAGTCCTCCCTGGACCTATACCCCAATATGCGGGAGGTTTCCCTTCGGGCTGGCCCAACCTGAGAATCCCAGCAATGCTGGGAGGCTGGGGAGCCAGACTCAACCTCTAACCCTTCCTCGTGGGCCTTTGGCTTGCTGACCTTTCAGCTCCCGCCACCTCTGGGTGCAGGTGACCCAAGCCCCCAGTCTTAAAGTCCTCTGTAGCCCTCACTCTTCCCAGGCTCCTGGCCTGAGGCCCCATAGATATCTGACAGGGCAATGCTCCCAACAGACCTGTGCAGGATATATTTGGGACTCTGAGGTCCCACCACCTACCAGAGAAGTTCCTGGTAGCCAGCATAGTTGTGAGGATGGCTCCCTGCAAAGATAAGGAGGGGGGTGGGGGACAGGAAGTTGGAGGGAAGAGGAGAGACAGAAATGGGGAGGGGGAAAGGAGGCAGATGCTGCATTGAGACACAAAGCCAAAGCCCTGCTCATCCAGTTGCCCTCAACCCATGACCCAGAGACCATCCCTGCCTCCCTGGGGAAATTGGGGTGAGCCAGGCCTGAGCTGGCACAGCTCCTGGGACAGGGCCATCCTAGCAGCAGATATTAATAGGTTCCAGTGACCTGGCCAGAGGTAGTAGAAGGGCTCGGAGACACCTGTTGGTGGGGACTTCTAAAGGCCAAGGACGATAGACCCTGCCCTCCTGGGGCCACCCTCTTCCCCCTCCACCCAGGCACTCAGTACCTTACTTCACCACTAGTTCATCTTCCCCAGGGCTCCTGGGCTCACAGCCATGGACAGTTGACATGAAAAAGCCTCTTGTCTCAACAAGGGGCCCAAGGATGGCCCTTCTGGTCCTGGTGCTGTCTGATTTAGACAGTCTCTGAGTCTGACAGCCCATGATTTTAGGACATTTTGAGATACCCTCTGTGACCATTCCCCGTGGGGAGGTGGAGTGGGACTTAGTTCTCCTGGCATCATGCTGCCCACCACCCCCTTGGCCCATGTCTTTTCCGGAGCCACCATGTCAGGCCTGGGAGCAGTTGGTGAGAAGGTTCCCAATGAGCTGGGGCCTCAGGATCGGTCACTCAGCATTCTGGCAGCTTCTCTGTTCCAGCAGGCTGGAACCCCCTCAGTTGCTCTTCCTACCTGCTCATGGGGTCCCTGGCGAGGTCTAGGCCAGGGGGTACCACAGCCCTGGGACCACATACAATCTGCTTGAGAGGCAGCTCCTGGCCCACCTGGGTCCCCTTGCGGCTTCATCTGGGCGGTGACCCCTGTCCCTGTCTCTTGGCTTGTCTTCTCTAGTGCTTGGCAGCAGGACCTCTTACCCACCCCCACCTCCCAGTCTCCTGCCCAGTCCCATCTCACTGCCTAGAACCTCTCGCCAGCCACGCTGAAACACTTAGAGGCCCCCTATGGGGTCAAGCTCACGCTCCCAGACTTCTGCATGAGCTTTTCTCTCTGTGGAACATCTGCCCACTCTGACTCTACATGGCTAATGCCTGCTTATCCTTCTGGGCGTCCGCCTAAGTGCACCTTGCCCAGCAAGGCCTCCTGGGATGCTTGCCCTGGTCCTTCCAGGCCCGGCTCGCGGCCCTGCTGTGGTCACCTCCAGCCTCAGGGTGTGCCCCGTCACAGCACTCACCACTGCCCCTTAATGTCCTGGTTCCTTGTCTGTCCTTTCCACATGCTCACTCCCCAGCCCAGAGAGTCGGTGCTCAGTAAGTGCTCGTTGACTCAAGGAAGGAGAGAACTTGTGAGTGAGTCTCTCAGCCTCTGTGGAGACCCAACCAAGCTATGCCATGTCCGGGGGCCATGGAGGGCGAGCACCTGTTACCTTCAGTTTTCTCCTGGCGTTGAACTTCTTCAGGCAGTCCACGGTCTCCTGTCTGTGCATGCAGGAGGCCACGGTGGACCGGTGCTGGAGGAAGTGGGGAGAGGTGTGTGAGTGGGAGGCAGGCCCTCCCAAAGGCCCTTCGGCAGGGCGTCTTATGGAGCTGTGGTTGGCATCTTAAGGGGACAAATCTTTGTTCTAGGGGACATTGTAAATACGGCAGGTGCTTGGCATCCCTGGCACCAGACATTCCATGCCAGGAGCACCTCCAGTCAGGATGCCAACACAGAAGGCCTCCCATTTCCACTTCCCCTTGAGAACCAGAGCAAGGTAGCATCTCTGGATTAAGCCACCTTGACCCTATGCTGGCCTGAGGGGCCAGGGGCAAGGCCAGGATTCCATGGAGGTTTGGACCCTGGAATCTGGAGGCTCTCCTGGTAGGGCCCTGCTGAGGAAGGCTCACCGAGATCCAGGGGTGCTTGAGGGCTTCAGCAGCCGTGATGCGTTTGGATGGGTTGATGGTCAGCATCTTATTGATCAGATCCTTGGCTTCCGGGGTGACGGTGTCCCATTCTGGTGATGGGAACTGGAAGGGGCAGAGGGGCCAGGTTTGCCCAGCCTACCCCAGGCCACCCCTGCGATCCCCCAGCCCCTGACTGGCAGGGGAGCAGGCAGGGGTCCTACTGCCCATCCACTGGGCATCCACAACCAGGAGGAGTTGGGATCCTCAATGCAGGGGCCCCTCTGGAACCAGAGGAGGGTCAGGGTCCTTTGCCCCCAGGACAAATCAGAGCAGTGGCCAGAGGGGAAGGAGGCCTTCCTCTGTTTTCCTGAGGCTGTGCCTTATCTGGGGAGCAGTAGGCCAGTGGTTATAGGCCACACTTCAGAGTCAGAAAGCTTGTCCCATGAGCAGCCTGGTGGCTCAGTGGTTTAGTGCTGCCTTCGACCCAGGGCATGATCCTGGAGACCTGGGATTGAGTCCTACGTCGGCTCCCTGCATGGAGCCTGCTTCTCCCTCTGCCTGAGTCTCTGCCTCTCTCTCTCTCTCTCTGTGTGTGTGTGTGTGTGTGTGTGTGTGTGTCTCATGAATAATAAAATAAAATCTTAAAAACAAAAAATAAGGCTTGGCCCAAGTCCTGGCTCTGCCTCCTGGGCTGTGTGATTTTGGACAAGACATGTGACCCTCAAGCTGTCCCTAAAGATATGAGGGTTCAATATGATATAAAACACATAGCACATGGCTTGATAGAATCAGCCTTATTGAAAATCAGCATAGCTCAGTCATTAGAAACACAGACACTAGAGCCGAACTGCCTGGGTTCAAATCCCAGCTCTACCTTTTCTTAGCTATGCAGTTATTTAACCTCTCTGTGCCTCAGCTTCCCTTTCTGTAAAATGGGGGATAATAATCTTATTTATGTCATAGCTGGGTATGAGGATTAACACTGATAATGTAGAAAGCATTTAGAAGAGTGCTGTGTTAGCTATTATTATTTGTATGTGCATTATTATTTGTGTGTGTGAGAGAGAGAGGGAGGGAGAGAGGGAGGGAGGGGGTCTGGCTTCTGGGGCCTACCTTCTACCGCTCACCCCACCTTGGTGATGCTTCTGCCCTTTGGGGCCCCAGGCTGAATGCCATCACACCAAGGCCCAACCATGAGGTGGGGTCGTGTGCCTTCAGCCCTCAAACTCCACCCACCCTACAACTAGAGGGTGGCAGGGGGCCTAAGTGGGTTGGGAGGGCAGGAGGGAGACAGCTTAGGTCTCTGACCTCCCTGGTATTGGCTTTCATCAAAAGGGACACAAGGGACCACAGGGAGGCCAGAGAGAGGAGGGACACTCACATCATAGGCGCCAGCTTTGATCTGCTGGTACAGGCGGTGCTGGTCTTCATCCCAGAATGGGGGATACCCAACCAGCAGAATGTAGAGGATGACCCCTGGGGAAAGGACCAGGAGAAGCCTTACCCTTCTGTGAGGAGGAGCGACAAAGAGAGGAAGAATGGGGAAGGAGAGGGCACCCGAGGGGCAAGCACCCAGGGTGATGAGAGGGCTTTGGGATGGACTCACCACAGGCCCACAGGTCCACAGGTTTCCCATATGGATCCTTCCGCAGCACTTCTGGGGAGAGGTATCCCGGCGTCCCTGCGAACCCTGCTCCCCAGACACACAGACAGGCAGACACACACACAGAGGTTGGCATGTAAGCAACCTAGAGCAAGATCCTGCTGGAAGAGGGATGGGGTTGCCCTGGAGATGGGGAAAACACTCTCCGCCTCCCAGAGTGGGTCAAAGGCAGGAAGCTCTGGCCTGGCAAGGCAGCAAAGCCTCTAGACCAGGGTGGACAAATACACAGTGCACCTGTCACCACCCCCACTCCAGAGCCTATGGCAGAAGTCATGGATTAATCCCAGAATCCTTCCCGTGGTGTCCTGACTCAGCATCATACACTTCTAGCAGGTCTCCCGCAGCCACTATTGAGTGCTGGTGCCACTCTAGGCAAAATGTCCTTGCCATGCCCGGAAAGACTGAGCAGAACCCTTGCCCGCGCCCTACCCTTCTAGGAGCTGGGCCTGGGCTAGCAGGAGGCCTGCCTCTAACTCTGGTTTTGCCCTATGTTCCCTGGGGAGGCCTCTTTTCCCTCAAGGCTTCAGTTCCCTCATCTGTCAAATGAGAGATTAAGGATTCCTCCTTTTACTACCTCCCAGCAGTGTTTCGAGGATCACTTGAAATAAACGGGCACCCAAAGTACTTTAACAAGTAATCATAAGAACAGGCACTATTTATTGTGTGTGTGCTCAGCATCGGGCTGAGCATTCCACACCTGGTCTCATTTACTCCTCACACAGCCCTGAGGACCCACTGTTATCACCCCCATTTTACAGATGAGCAACGAAGCCTCAGCAAGGTGAAATGACTCGCCCCAAGTCACACACCTCCTGAGTGGCATAGTCGGAACTTGAACCCAGAGCTCTGGCTCTAAACCACTGATCAATAGCACCCACCAAAAAGTTTTCCTTTTTGAAAAGAACTCAATTATGTCAAAATCTCAGAGTACGCTGGCTCTTCTGAGCTTAAAGGCTGGCTCTGCCGCTTTTAACTTCCCATGAACTCTTCCAAGTTTCTTAGCCTCTGTGTTCCTTGTTCGCAAAGTCAGGACCATTGGCTCTGGCACGGCACCCAGGCCGTTAGGGGAACCCATGGAAGCCCCCAGCCAACACTGGTGGCGTGTGCGCATGCGGAGCAGCCGTGTACTGTTTTGATGGTAACCGCATCCCTGCCCCTGACCCCCATGGAGATAGGATGGGCAACACCCACCGACCCGAGGCTAAGTGCGGTGAGACCTCTGCTCCCTGAGCCCCGGCTCATGCAAGTCATCTCCTGCCTGTCCCTGCTAGGGCAGGGGGGCTCCTAGAGCTCAACGCGTCAACACAAGGCTGGTCCCTGACACCCCTGCCGTCCCCTGCCCCCACTCACCGAACCATGCCTGCTGCTCCCCTTCTACCTCTATGGCCAGGCCAAAGTCCGCCAGCTTCACCGCTGCGCCCTTGAGCTTGGAGGCCAACAACAGATTCTCCGGCTTCCCAGGACCAGAGAAAAGAGGGAAATCAGGGAAGAAAGAGCCAGAGGACAGTGAGCAGATTCAGAGCCTCAACTCTGGGGCCCTGAGCCTACAGGAGGAGGAGCAGTGGGACAGCCCAGAGGTACCCTGACCCCACCTCCTGTCCCAGCCACAGGACCCTGAGCTTCGGCCCCCAAAGAGGGGAACACCCTAGGGCATGCAGGACAACCTGCAACAGGACAACCCTTTCTCTACCACCCATCCCCTCCTTCGCCTCTACTCCTTCCCTCCTTCCCTGCTGATGCAACGGCAGGGAACTGGGGTGGGGGGAGCCACCACCGCAATAAGGACAAAGGAGTGACATTTATTGTGCCGCTACTGTGTGCCAGCCACCAGGTTGAGTAGTTTGCATATATCACCTCACTTATCACCTCAACAACATTTGGGATAGGCATTATTATTCCCGTTTTCCCAGTGGCCTCCTGCATTCTCTGAAACTGTCCCATCTGTCCCTGATGCCTGCTCCCATCTCAGGGCCTTTGTACTTCCTGTTTCTCCTGTTTGATCTGCTCCTTCTCTGAGTTTCACAAAGCTGGCCCATTCTCTTCATCTGCTCCTACCTTCATGTCACCCCCTCAAAGAATCCTTCCATGACTAAAGGAGGAGCCCCCAGGTATCCTCTGTCTTAGTGACTGGTGGTTATGTTCACAGATATCACAATTTGTAAGTTTTTCCCCATGTGTCTATGTGCTTGTTTATTGACTGTCACCTCTATAGACAGTGAGCTCCTTATCTGTCTGTCAGCCACTATCACCAGCACCTAAGGCAGGGGGCAGCTCATAGCAGGCACTTAACAAGTATTTGTCATACGTTTAAAGATGAGGAAACTAGGGCAGCCTGGGTGGCTCAGCGGTTTAGCGCCGCCTTCAGCCCAGGGTGTGATCCTGGAGACCCAGGATCGAGTCCCACATCGGGCTCCCTGCATGGAGCCTGCTTCTCCCTCTTGCCTATGTCTCTGCCTCCCACTCTCTGTGTCTCTCATGAATAAATAAATAAAATCTTAAAAAAAAAAGATGAGGAAACTAAGGCCCCCAAAAGTTAAGTGACTTGACCAAGATCACACAGCTGATAAGGCACGGAGCCAGAATCAAGGCCAAGTCTGGCTCTGGAGCCATGTTCTTAACCATTCCGGGCTGAGAGATGGGGGCCCCATATGTGCCACCTGGCCTCTGGGGACTGGAAGACAGCTGTCTTCTGCTGGGTGTGGAGAACAGGAAATCCCCTGCACAGGCCAGAGGGGAGTCGAGGTGAATTCTGCAGCTGGGTAGTCCTAGCCTAAGACCTGGCTCCGCCACTTCCATGCTATGGAACTTGGGAAAACCATTTCACTTCTCCGAGCTTTAGATTCCTCTCAGAAAAGTGGATAAAGCCCACCTCATGGGGTGGCACATGGATTAGTCATGATAATCCACGTAGGGCACTTGGCAGTGGCCCACACCACATGCTCCATGAGCATTAGCACGGCTTGGGGTGGGGTGGGAGCATGGGTTCTGAGTCCCTGGAGACAGCTGATTTCCTCTGACCCCCCCCTTCTCACTGGGACTTCTGAGGGGGGCCCCACATCTGACCTCTCACTGCCCAAAGCTAGGCAAGACCCAAACAAATATAGCTCCATCTGCCTGTCGTGAAGGCCTCTTTTATCCTCTGGGGACTGTGTTCCCAAAGTGTGCTGGGTCTTGGTAGCCGCCCTGTCCTGATTTGATGAATATGCCACTAATTAATCTATCCAGAGTGGCCTAAATTTGTGCTGCCTCTCCTCCTTCCTCCTCCCGTGCAGGAGCTGTAGCTATAATGGGAACAGGCCCTCTGGGAGAACTGCCCTGCCATCTGGCCGGGACCCTCTTGGAGGGCACACTTGCCTCCAGGTCTAGACTGAGACCTAGGGAGCTCCCCTGTGACAGTCAGAGGTGGGTAGGGGTTCTGGGCAGAGCACTGCATCCCAGAGATGGACCTGGACCTTCTGAAGGATGCCCAGGGGGAGTGTTCAGAGAGGGTGTCCAGGCTGAGGAGGGCCTGGAGGTCCCATCCAGGGTGGGGATGGAGGTACAGCCTGCAGAAGACTTAGGAGGTCCAACAAAGCTGCCCAAGTGGCTCTGGGGCTGCTCTGGGCTGGAGGCTTGATCTGTATGGCCACCCCAGGAACAGGATCTGGGCTCAGAAGGCCGGGCTCCATTCCTAGCTTAGGCACAACCGACCTGCATATTCTTGGGCAAGTCCCTTAGGCTCCTTAGGCCTCTGTTTCCTGCTCTGAAAATTGGGGGTAATTTGTGAGCTACCAGCCTCAATGCCTTGAGGCTCAGCCAAGAAGAGCTAGGAGTCCATGCTGACTCCAGGCAAGGCCAACCCTCGGGCACACATCTGCTTAGGACTGTCCTTCTTCTCCTTCGGGTGGGAAGAGGAGGAACCCTGAGGGCCCCAGGGCCTGTTTTTCTTCTCCCCCCACCTGCCAGAGACCCAGAAACAAGAATCACAGTGCCTCTGTGCACCAGGCTGTGCACAGGCTGTGCTGTCTCCTTTGACATCCTCGGCAACCCCAAGCAGACGTTGCTATGGCAACTCCACTGTAAGGATGCTGAGGCCTTGCCACCAGAGAGTGGCCTAGCTGGGCCTTGGACCCTGCCGTAGCTGGCCTTGGCAGCCAAACTACATCTTCCCTGGTCTGGCCCAAAGCACATGGGCCTGGGAGTCAGGAGACTGGATCCCAAGCCTAGATACTCCTCCCTGCACCCTCATCTAAACAGTGGGGTAGATATTCCCTGCCCACTTGACTCAGGGGACTTAAAGGCCCCTGGCTTCACAGGTGGAGGGCAGGGCAGGAGGCAGAGGGGCAGGCTCCTGGGTGAGCCGCACCCCAGGATGGGTCACTCACCTTCAGGTCCCGGTGCACCACACCCATCTGATGGCAGTGCAGCACGGCCTCCAGGATTTGCTGGATACAGTGGCTGGGGACAGAAAGGGAAGGGTCCCCGCGTAAAGGCAGGCATATCCCGGGAACCTGGGAAGCCAGTAAGGGAGACACCCCGCCCCCCCCGCCACCATTGCCAGGCCACACCTGGCACTCACCTGGCATCAGCCTCACTGTAATACTCCCGGGCCACGATGTCCTCAAACAACTCCCCACCAGTAACCCTGGGGAGATAGGCACAGGGTCACCCTCCCACAGAGGCTCCACGTATTGCCTCTTCTGGAAGAGTATCCAGGAAGCTAAGGGTTGGGGGTACCCAGGGACCTCGGAACCTCAGACCAAAGAGAGGAACCCCAGGGACCCTGGTGGGGGCCTCCTGCTACAAACCTCTTCCTGACTCCAAGCTGACCCTTCCATTGACTTCCCTCCCTCTCACCACTTGCTCTGCTCTCCCACTGGGTCCAGGCTGGAGTTAGGACAGGGGCTGGGACGCTTAGGTTCCTTAGGCTCCTGGAAGCCCAGGCACTGGGATTTTTGTTGCTGTGTGTTTGTTTAATAAAATTTATTTTTTAGAGTATCTTTAGGCACACAGCAAAACTGAGCAGAAGGCATGGAGATTTCCCATATACCCACACATGCAGAGCCTTCCCCACTATTAACTGTTTTTTTTTTTTTTGCAGATGGGACCAGTGTCTTCACTGAGTTTCTCTGCCAACCCAAGAACCTATCATTTCATTGTTTTTCATTCAGTTGACTGGCTTTCAAAACTTTAAAATTACTCCAAAAGGAAACTGTATTTTGCCACTAGACATGGAAAGCCAGCACCGCTGGCCACAAATAGAAACAAAATGATGTGACAAGGAAGTAACAAGCGTGTGTTGGCGTTTCAGGGAGACCCACCTGCACTGTTTGGGTGGCAGGCCTACCACATTCGGGAACCTTCTGTCTCAGAGGAGGGAATTCAGCCCAGCAGGGGGGGCATTTGGGAATCAGGCCAAGGGACCCAGCTAGGTCATCCCTGCTCAGGCTGCCCCTAGTGCCCTCATACATCCCAGGGTGGGCCCAAACTCACAGGTCGAAGATCAGGTAATGATGTCCCTCCTCAGAGATGCTGTCGTGAAGCCGGACTGTGGGAGGGGCCCAGGCAGCCAGTTAACCTCCAGAAGCTGGCTTCCCGCCCACTCCTGCCCTCTCACCTCACCCCTCCAACGGCCAACATTCCAATTTCCCAGTCACTGAGCACAGGCTAGAGGACAGGCACTTTGACAAACGCCAGGTGAACGATGGCTCACTGACCTTGGGCATCATCAGAGGAGGCCCAGGTTTCAAGATGAAAGACCCCTCCCTGCTTTGGTCAAAGTCTGGCCTCTTCCTTCCTCCAACCCTCAGCCTCCTTGCTGGGCAGGCTGGCATCATGGCAATAACCTGTGGCTGGGGTCTCTGCCACTTGCTAGCTGGGTGACTTCAGGCAAGTTGCTGTACCTTTCTGAGCCTCTCATTTCTTCCCTGGACAATGAGAATGAAACTCCCGGACCTGCAGACTCATTGTGAGAATTCCATGAGGCACACGGTCGGTGTCCACCCAGTGCCGGCCTGAGGGAAGAACCCTGCTGTGCATCCAGGTGTGAGATAAGCGAGCCCGTGGAGGTGGGGGGACAGCGGTCCCTGAGTTAGGCGTGCTGAGAAACTGTCACCTCTTCATACCTCATTTACCAAGAACAGAGCTCCCAAAATTACCCCCTGAGATTCTGGAAGGAAGGGCCCAAGGCCGGGGGGCTGATTCTGGGGGCTGGACCCTGCCAGCCAACTGCATTTTCTCCTGGGACTGCTTCACATCCTTTCCTGAGCCACAGCCTAAAAACGTCCACAGAGCGGGGTGCGTGCTCAGAGAATTAGGATACGTTGCACAGCAGAAGATTACGCAGCTGTTAAAACAACACGGCAGTTACGTATCTCCTGGTTCAAAATCATCTCTGAATTATGTTGTTTGGTACAAAAAAAAAAAAAAAGCAAAGTACAAAACAGCATGCGTAGTACTTTTTTTTTTTAAGTTGTGTTTAAGCTTGTTTATGTCATAAGCTTCTCTGGAAGGATACAAAAAAGTGGGCATTGAGGTACCTTGGGGAGGGGAATCGGGAGAGTAGAGGTGGGGGGTTGGTGAGACTATGTTTTCACTGTGAGCCCTGGTGCCATCTGAAATCTTGCCATGTGCATGCATTTTTGCCTCAGTATTGAGTCCCCTCAATGGCTCATGGCTCTCCCATCTGCACATAAAGTTTGGAGAAGCAGGTATCAAACACACCAGAGTAGATATCTACTACGGGAGAGGAGAGAACGTGGCCAGAGATGGAGAAGGATGGCAAGACAATTTTTTAAATTTTTTATATTTTAAAGATTTTATTTATTTATTTATTCATGAGACACAGAGAGAGAGGCAGAGACATAGGCAGAGGGAGAAGCAGGCTCCCTGCAGCGAACCTGACGCAGGACTTGATTCCAGGACCCTGGGTTCACGCCCTGAGCCAAAGGCAGATGCTCAGGTGCCCCACAATTTTCTTTAAGATTTATATATTTAAGGGCTGCCCCCAAAAGATGTTTTAAATATATTTTATTTTATTCTTAAGTAAGCTCTACACTCAATGTGGGGCTGGAACTTATGACTCCGAGATCAAGAGTCATGTGCTCTACCAACTGAGCCAGCTAGGTGCCCCTATTTGAAATATATTATATGTACGGGTTTATTTGTTTGTTTGTTTGTTTTTCTGAAATATATTGTAAAGCAAAACTAAAAAGCAGGTTCCATAAGAGGACATAATATATAATCTTCTTTAATTTTTTAATCAACACTTTAATATAAAAAATTTCAAGCTTCCACTCAAGTGAACACCCATGTACCCACCACTTAGCTTCTATCATTAATCTTCTCTTATACTTGTTTTTACTACGTTTGTAACCATTTCCTCTATCTATTAATCTATTTCAATTTTTTAATGCATTTCAGAGCAAAAGTAGGCTTGGTTTTTGACCTGTATATGTGTGTGTTTTGAAATGAGCATCCTGTATATTCTGTGTGCCGAATCTGGCAACCCTGTATTGGTACCCTGGCCAGGTTCCCTCCTGTAAGAGGGTACAGCCATCCTGCAGCTGCTGGGAGAGCTGGCTGCTAACCGCTCACAATTACCCCCCTTTGCTGGAGAATTGCCCCCTGTGGCTGGAGCCACCTAGTGTACAAGGTTATCTGCAGCCTTCGGCCAATGACTGACTGACGTGGGGAGGCAGGGTCAGTGCAAAGGGCCAATCTCCTTGCCTTAAGGAGGGACAACCCCTTAACCGGATATGTTCCAGAGGCTTCCCCACTGCACCCTGTACACACACCTGAAATCAGGTCAAAGTTAGACTTGACCTCAGGCCACATCCTTGGTCAATTCCTTCCCTTTTTCTATCCTGCTTTACTCCATCCCTTGCAGGTCTCCCCTGGAAGCACAGCCTCACTAGATCACAAGCACCTGAATCCCTGCCTTAGGCTCTGCTTCTAAAAAACCTGACCTGAGACAAAATGTATAGAAACACTTGAGAAAGCACAGATATCATATATCCTATGGAAATATGTATCATACAATATTAGCTCTAAGCGGCAAGGTTATAGAAGATACTTTAAAAATTGTCTTCTCCCTTATCTACAATAAACTTGCATTATTAGTCTATCAAGATGAAGTTTTTAAAAAGACCCTTTCCTTGAGGTACCTGGGTAGCTCAGTAGTTGACCGTCTGCCTTAGGCTCAGGTTGTGATCCCGGGGTCCTGAGATTAAGTCCCACGTCGGGTTCCCCTCAGGGAGCCTGCTTCTCCCTCTGCCTATGTCTCTACCTCTCTCTCTATGTCTCTCATGAATAAATACATAAAATCTTAAAAAAAAAAAAAGTTCTGTGGCTACTGCCCAAACTTCAAAAAAATAAAAAAATAAAAAAGACCCTTTCCTTGGGGAGTGGACTCCTTACTGTCTACTCTGTTGTAGGCAGGCATGTATGTTTTTAACATCTCTTTCCTGAGTGTGAGAAGCTCCAAGAAGCCAAACTGTGACCAGAATCATCTCAGAATGGGCTCTTAGAACAGGGTCAAGAGCCATTTGAGAAGAGCTCCATCAAGACTAGGGTCCTTGATCCACCCACTGGCCAGAAGCCTCAGCTCCTTTAGAGAAGGTTCTCAGGGTTCGTGGAAATGGACAAAACTGGGGAGAGGGTCCTTTGGTGCTCTCACTCAGATGGTATTTTTATGCTGATTCAAAAGGCTGCCCCTCCGCCTGGTGGCTCAGTCAATTAAGCATCTGACTCTTGATTTTAACTCAGGTCATGATCTCGGGGTCCTGAGATCAAGCCCAGTGTCAGGCTCCACACACAGGGACTCTGCTTCAGGATTTCCTCTCTCTCCCTCTGCCCTTCCTCCCCTCAAATAAATACATAAATCTTTTTTTTTTAAAAAGGCTGCCCCTCTAAGCATCCAAGCAAGGGGAACACAGGCTGGATTCCAGCCCCACCTGCATAAGGGCACTGGGGTGAGCTTTAGTCGCTGAGAGGTGACACCATCACAGCCCAGAACCCAAGAGACAAGACACATAAAGCCTCCCCTCCCATCAGTGAAGGCTACCCTGAGAAAGAACTCAGTCCAAAGCCGAAGAGGAAAAGAAAGATTCAAGAGCCACCACAGGGTATGAAAGGGTCTCACTGCCTCGCAGAGATTGACATGCCTGTGGTCATTGAGCTATGCTGCCCGTTTTTGACTTTTTAAAAATATTGCCATAGATCCAACGAATCTGTAACCTAGTTTTCATGTGTATAGCTGGGCTCACGAATTTCTGACATTCCTTTCATATTTCCAACAGTGATGAGTTTTTTCTTGGAAATTGAAGGGTAATGCTTGTTATTGTATCCACTGCCTCCTGACAGCACATTCCTGATGTCCACTTGGGAAGCTAAATGGAGTGGCTGGGAACCTGGGCTCTGGAGTCACTATTGCAGGATTCACCTCCAGCTCTGCCTCTTATAAGCTGTGTAACTTTGGGCAAATTAGATAGCCTCTCTGAGCCTCCTTTCCTACCTAGGGTGGTAACACCACTGGCCTGCTTCGTGTGTGTGTGTGTGTGTGTGTGTGTGGCGGTGGGGGGGGGGGCTAATGGATGATGCTCGTAAAGCCCTCAACACAGTGCCTGGCACCAGGAAGAACTTGACAAATGGCGCACTGTCATCTTCATCACCGACCAGCCTCACTTCACGTGCCCACCCCACATCACCTGCTAAACTCTCAGGTTATCCCCTGTTCCCCGGGGTGGTCTTCAGAATCGGTCCTATCAGCAGGTGGTGATGGTATGGAGTGTGGGACACTGCCCCTGTCCCATGTGCACAGTACAGGTGGACCCTCCTGTGCTGAGCCAGGGCCTCCCTGACCTGGTCCACTTTGGGCTGGGCAGCGGCCAGGAAGCCTGGCTAGGGTCACCAAGCAGGCTGACTAGGACTCAGTCTGGCTCCTCCTGGCACAGACTTGCCTCTTGGATTCTCTGTCCACAGGGCAGATTATAATCTACTTAGAAGTGGGATGCTTAGAGCCTTGGGAAGCAGCACCCTCCAGGGCCCTTTCAGCCCTGTGATAGCTCTGGGGTTCATCCCCAGATCTTCCTGGTCTGGGGCTCAGTTCTGCTCTCTACTTCTCTGTGCATCAGCCACCCCACAGCCACCCCCGCCCCGTCCCCGCTCATCCTCAGCCCCCAGCAGAGACCTCGGCATGTGGTGGGGCCCCAGATGCCCTTGCCATAGGTGAAGGAAGGAGTGAAGGCCTCAATGATGGTGACGTCGGTAAGGCGGGTAGCTGCCATTCCTGAGACTTTACCATGGGCCAGGCTTGTGCTAAGTGCTTTCCTTGCAATTTCTCATTTAACCTGCCCAACAGTTGTAGAGGGTGGCTGCCTACCATGATTACCCTCATGAGCCTGGGCACGCTCAAACACCTGGTGAACAGCAGAGCTGGCATGGGCCCCAGGTGCAAACCCATTCCCTCAACCACCATGTTAAATACCACACCCCAAACTGGTGACTCAGAAGAATGAGAATCGTATGAAGATTACATTTTCAGGTAAGGTTGTTTTGTGGAAAGGTGTAGACTAAGGAAAAAGAGGAACAGCTTCATGACGATAGAGCATTTACCTCGGGACTGTCACAGTGCTGTGCTCTAACTAATCACAACCCTATGAGGCGAGTATCATTGCCATTCTCCAGATGAGAAAACTGAGCTTCAGAGTGACTCAGCAACATGTCTGGGGTCACACAGCAATTAGGCCACAAACCCAGGATTTGAGCCGCAGTGTGTCACCCCCAGAGCCCATAAGGGACCGCTCCCCATGTATAGCGGGGGTGGGGCGGTGAGAGGGAGAAGGAGGCAGCATTGACCTGAGTCAGCTGCAATGTGCAGCAACACACACACTTACGCACACACCCTCCCCGCCTCCTTCCTCTGGGGCTGACAGCCTTTCTAAGAACCATGGAACTTGGTAGTCGAGATCCCTCACAACGCCTTCCATCACACAGCTGGGCAGGTGGAGGCCCCGAGCAGGACAGGAGCTGCCCAGGGCCAAACAGTGAGTCTGCAAAGCCAGTCAGGGATTGGGGTCCAGTCAGGGCTGCTCCCCAGCGGCCGCCTTGCTGCCCCTCCTCTGATTCTGGCCCTGGAGCCTCTGGCTGCTGTTTGCACAGTTCTGTTCCCCTCCCTGGGCACAGGGAAGGGGAGGTGCCTTTTGGGTATAAATAGCAGATGGAGATGCTTCTCTCCAGCAGGAGAGTTAACCCTTGGGGCTCTGGGCACAGAGATGCCTCCTTCCCAAGGGCAAAGGCGTGGTGGCTGTCAGAGTTGGAATATTCCTTAGAGAACACCTAGGCCTTGCTCCTCAAAACATGGTCTGTGAACTAGCAGTGCTAGCATCACCTTGAAGCGTGTCAGACGTGTGAAATCTTGGGCCCCACCCAAACCCACTGAACCAGATCTACCTTTTAACAAGATCCCCAGATTATGCAGAAGACATCTCCTCGTGAAGATGGGGGAAAGTGGCTCAGAGAGGGCAGGGCTCCTACCCAAGGTCACACAGCCATTCCCCGACAGAGCTATATCTAGACTCTATTCTTCCTCCCGTCCCCACCCCACCCCCTCCAGCCACTCTGCCTCAATGCAGAACCTTGATGGGGAGGGATGCAGACCCCCAGTCATGCATGGGGGAGGCAAGGAGGTCAGGCAGTGATGCATGGTCAAGGCCCAGCCTCTCCCCTGTGGGCTGTGCTCACTCTACCCCTCGGACAGGGGCCACCTTGGAGCCTGCCACTGGGGGCAGGGAGCAAGCAGGCCGCTGGTCTCGGTAGGTGGGCAGGCCACAGTGCCAGGCTAACTCGGCTTGGGGTAGGTTTGGGGAGTAGGCCACTATGGTCAAGGCCAAGCCTGGCCTATTTTCGTCTCTCTCGGAGCTTCAAGAGTTTTCCTGAAACAGCTTTTCTGAAGGAGGCTGCTGGCAGCGTGGGCTAGGAGGAAGGGCCCCTTCTTCACCACCCCCCCACCAAGCTGGTCTCTGAGAAATGTGGAGACCATTAAAGGCACCCCCTTTCCCATCACTCCTGCCACCATCCCCAGAGAAGAGAGCAGCTGCCCTCCTAGCCCCAAACGCCCACCAGCTCAGGCAGGGCACAGGGCCAGGCTCTACCCACACCCCCCACTCGTCCCCCACAGCTCACCGATGTTGGGGTGTTTCAGTAGGCGGCAGATGCGAGCTTCGCGCTCCAGCTTCTGATGGTCTGAAACACAGATGCCCAGGTGAGTCCCAGGTGAGGGAGGAAACTTTACCCACTCCGACCCTGCCTCTTCATGGTCGCTTATGATCTGTACACCCCAGGGCAGCCCCTGGGCCCCATCTGGGTAAGCTCGCCTTTCTGGCCGGGCCCCTGGGTTCTCCAGGAAGGCAGTGGGATGCAGCAGAGGCCTAATCATGGGGAGCAGGGTGCAGTGCCTCAGAAAGTCCCTTCCCCTCTCCAGGCCTTGGTCTCCAAGGCTCTCAAGTGAGGTGCCTCCCTGAGCCCCATCCACAGAGCCTGGAACACCCCCTCAGGGCAGGTTCCTGTGGCCCCCGCCTCCAGCCCTTTCCCTCACAGGGCACTCCAGCCAGACTGAACTGCTAAATGGCACTTCTCCAGACCCACCCCCTCAGCCCTCTCGCTTGGGCTTGGCGGCCTTCACTCATGTGGTTCTCTCGGCTTAGAACTTTCCCTCTCAACCTCCCACCTGTCCTTCACTGGCCATCACTCACTCACTCCTACCTATTCTAATATACCCTCTCCTGGCAGCCTGTCCCAACTGCCAGGGTGGTAAGGGCCCCTCCTCTGTGCTCTCAGGGCCCCTAGACAACACATGCTACTTTGTCTCATGGGTATCTTTACCCTTACGGGCAAGAATTTGGTCTCTTCTGTACCCCTGGCATCTTCCCAAATGCCTGACACATAGTAGGTATTCAAGAAATAATTGAATTAAAGAACAAATCATTGAATGATGAACCTTTCTAACGGAGTGCATATTTTCTCTACAGGAGAGGAATTGTATTAATTCACAGAGGCCACCTCCCTTACAGAGGACTCCAGACCAGGGACACTGAGAGCCCCAAAGAATCTGCAGGGTACAATCTGTATGTGGCCGCATCGGGGCTTACCCAGAGCTCCCACACCTGCTTTCCAGGACTTTTGTCCAAGCCCCCAGAGAGAGAGGCCTTGTTCAGGATCTGACCCCATGGTCTCCGACTCTGAGGCTGCTGGGAGCAATCCTACTCGTGACCCTCTTCGGTCCTCCCAACGACCCTATGCTTTGAGCACCACTGTCCCCATTTTATGTACTTCTCAATTTCCCTTCTGGTGCTTTTCTCACAGTTTCATAGTTAATGCCCTAATTTAAAAAACAAAAACAATACCAAGGGAGCTCGTAGAAAATTTACCATGTGCCAGGCACACTGCAGAGCACCCATATATCCATCTCAAGTTCTCACAACGACCCTTTTGAGGGAGGTGCTATCACATTCTGGCTTCACAGAGGAGGAAAGAGAGGTTCAGAGAAGCTAAGTACCTGGCTCTGAGTCACACCTGCAGTGATCAGAGGAGCCACACTTTGTACCCAGGCAGTCAGACTCCAGGGGTGAGCTTTCCTGTACCTCCATGCCCTGACTCATCGTCACCACCTCCACCTGCCCCCAATTTCTGAATGGGAAAATCGGGGCCCCTAGGAGGGAACTCACATAGACATTCAGAAGCAGAACCAGGACAAGAACTCCTGTCTCTAAAGAGCCCCTTCAGAGTGGGCAGCCACCAAGGAGGGCAATAAGGACGTAGAGAGCCCCAGTCCTCGTCCCCAGGCACCCAGTTTTCCTTTCCCCGCCCCTCTATTAGAGCAATCACTGGCCATTCTCCACAGGCTGCAGAAGCCAAGAGCAATCTTGAAATGTGGCTTTTTTGTCAGCAGAGCAATTAAGTTCAATCCTCTTTCCATAGAGTAGAAGCTCAACTCCCCAGCTGAAGGTGGGCTACAGGCTGGGGAAGGGGAGGATATGGGGGACATGCCCCTGGCCTCCCTCCCTCCCAGCCTCCTTCCACATCCTCCAGGATAGCAGGTTGCCAGTTCCCACACAGGAGGGCTGCCGAGGGCTCTCAGTGGACTGAGGATGGCTGGATCCCCCGCTGGCCCGACACCCTGTCCCTTACCCCACCATCCCCAGCAGAACCAGAAACCAGGCTGGTCAAGTGGGGCCTATCAGAGGGGGTTAGGGGCCTTCTGGCCCAGGTTGTACATGCAGGGGATGAGGGATCCAAATGCAGAATTCTGATGTTTTCGCTGCCGTGTGAAGTCACCCAGGAGCCCAGTTAAGCTGACAGCATTGAAAGGACACGCTGATCACAGAGCCTCAGACTTGGGCCTGATGGCCAGCCCTCGCTGCTGGAAATGCCAGGAGCTGTTTTTATAAACCTGGCAATCATCTTGTGCATCGTCCAATCACACTGCATTGCAACTTCCAGTGCTAAAAGCATTAATTTGTTGAATTTATGTAAACATATATGTTATCCAACAGTTTTTGTAACTCTGAAATGTTTTTTTTATCTGACATGCCTCAAAGAAAGTAAGGACTGTGTTTCTCTTGACCTCTGAGGCCTTGCTCTGCTATGTAGGTAAGGAAACTGAGGCCCAGTGATAAGGAACAGCCCCATTATCAAAGTCACTCAATAGGGTACATTAGAACCCAGATCCCTGGGGCGTCTGGGTGGTGCAGTCAGTTAAGTGTCCAACTCTTTGTTTTGGCTGATGGTGAGATCAAGCCCCGCATTGCTCTGCACTCAGCACGGAGTCTGCTTGAGGTTCTCTCTCTCCCTCTTCCCTCCCAGCCGTCTCTCTCAAATAAATAAATAAATAAATCTCTAAAAAATAAAAACTCAGAGCTCTGAGGAACTACTCCTAGGTGCTCCCCTCACTCCAGCCAATAGTTTTCTGCAGCCAAAGACATCTTATTAAAATGTGAATTAGATGCTGTCACTCCTCAGCATCAAACTCCCCAATGTACTTGAAATCCAAACTCCTCACCACACCCAGCCAGAACCAGCTGGACCTGCCTCATCTTGGCCTTGGAGCTTCAGCCACAGTGGCCACCTTTCTGGCCATAGGCACACCAAGTCCCTTTCCACCTCAGGCCCTTTGCACTTGTTGGGCCTTTTGTCTAGAATGCTCTTCTCCTGGGTCTGCTCATGGCTGTCTCCGTCTCCTCAGGCAGGTCCAACACAACATCACCTACTCAGAGAGCTCCCTTGGCTGTCTTATCTAAGTGTCTCTCTGGCCCCATCACTTCCCCACTACCCTGTGTGGTACCTCATTGCTACCTAAAGTTACCCAGCTTATGTATACGTTTACTTATGTATACGTTTAATGTTCTTTACAGTCTTCCTCCCTAGAGAACAGGTGCAATGAGAGCAGGACCTTGTCTGTCAGTCACTGCCATATCCCAGGGCCCAGAGACTCTAAGCAGCTTGTCCAAAGTTCCATCACTAAGCAATGGCAGAGCTGGGATTTCAACCCATGTTCATAAATGCTATCCTATATTGCCTTCCATTCTCATAATTGATGAAGCAATCCATTCAGCTCAATATAGTCCCACAACGTTGAAAGGCCTGACGGATGCCTCCTGCCCAGGTACCTGGGAGGATTGCCCTGATGCCCACTATGGTACCGTGTGAACCTTGTCCCTCCTCCTTGCGGGTGGGCAGTCAAAGGCGAGGGAAAGTAAGGTTCAGAGTGAGGCTCCTAGGGCCAGAGAGTGCCAACAGTGCAGGGCAAGACAGAGTAGAGCATGAGGGAAGTGCCATTGGACAGCATGGAAGGCTCTGCCTGCAAGGCAGGGGCAGGGGGAGGTTGCATGGGGAGCCCTCCAGCGGGCAATGGGCAGTGGGGCTCTGGCCAGAGGCAGAGTAACCAGGGGAAGAAACAGACCTTCAAGTCTTGGAAGAGGAAATGTCCCCACCCTCTAGAAGGCCTCAACAGGGCTCCTGATCCTGGGAGGCTGGAGAAATAATCCCAAGGGCCAAGAGTGCCAGGCAAGGGTAGGGAGTAAGATGAGGAAGACGGGAAGGATCTGTCTTCCTGCCCCCTTCACAGCATGGACCTGAAGCTCAGGGGCAGCCTGAAGGAGCTCATGCCACGCTTCTCAGCCCATGTCCTGGGACTGGTTGCCTGGGAGCCGAGGAAGTGACCCCTCAGCACTCGGGTGGACGGTGGGTACCATGGAGGCCTCTGTACCCCCTGTGACTCGCTCCTGGCTGCACCATTCACATCCACGTGCCCAGCCATCCCTAAAATGTTAATGAACTTTGTGTGCTGGATGAGGATCTGGCTAGGAAGCCTACAGAGCCCCTGGCAGGGAGTTATCCCTGAGCTTGGACTAGCTATCATAACCGCTGATGGGATTTTTTAAATGCAGGAGCTTGGCCTCACCTATTGACTCCAACCCTCCAGGGTGGAAGTAAGGCAGCTGCATTTTTTTTAAGGCTCCTTGAGGGGATTTGGCAGGGCCTGAGACAGGCAAAATTTTTACTTTCCATCCCATGCCTTTGACTTCTTGGAATTGTGTGTACTATGAGCCTTTTATTTAAAAAGAGTAGTTTTAAAATACATGCCAAAAAATCTCTTGGGTTGGGGAGCCACTCAGCCAAAGAAGAGGCTGACCCGGGCTGGGGAGGGGAGCCACAGCTCCCTGGTGTGAGGGGAGGACTGGCACCCAGGGTGGGCCAGGCCCCCACTGGGAGCTGCCAAAGTCACCGGGAGTGCCAGCAGGAGAGGCTTAGGGTATGTTGCCAAATATTCAGCATCAAAGTGCTCCCCACCCCAGGCACCATGAGTGGCAAACAAAGAAACCTGCTAAAAGCAGCTCTGCTCCTCCTCTCCCGCTGAGGGGAAAAGCGTTGGCAGTTGGCAGACTTCTTTGAGAAGGTTCCCCTGAGAACCTCCCCACTCCCACCCTTGACACTCACCTAGGCCTGAGCCACCTCTCTTGAAGGATGTCAAAGCCTCTACAAATTGCCGAAGACAGAGGACTTGGTGATTTCCTCCTGGCACGGCCCAGTCTATACTGCCTGAGGAATGCTTAATCACCTTCCAGAAAAGAGGCAATGCCCCTTCCATTTCCCCCCGTATACATCTGTCTCTTTCTGTCAGTGTGTGTGTGTGTGTGTGTGTGTGAGAGAGAGAGAGAGAGAGAGAGAGAGAGAGAGAGAGAGAATATGAGGCAGGTGGGGGGGGGTTGCTCTGAGAGTGCAGCGAACTGGCCCAAGAGCTCCAGCATCCAGGGAGGACCTTGGCTCCTGACCCTCCCCCATTTTGAAGCAACCTCAACCAGTCACCCCAAGTTGTGGCTCTCATCTTGCCCCAGCTGTATCGCAGCGGTTGGGACATCTCCTTTGATCGCTAGAGACATAAAGCACAGAGAAGGCTCCAGACTGCCACTCGTCACACAGTAAGCAGGGCAAATCCCAGCATCTGGACCTAAGGCAGAGCTCCTGCGGCCTCCCTATCCACCCTGGCTCCCTGCCTGCTCCTGGCTCTGGCTCCAGACTTTTCCACAGGTGTCGTCCTTCTGCACCAGCTTTCATGCTGAACGGGTGCCATCGCGGCCCCGGGCCCCCAGAGAACCACCCTCCACACACCCAGCCTCTTCTCCCTGTAGGACACTGGCTGCCTATGGGGGAGTTCAGTAGCTACGAGGAAGCGCTGGGCTCCCAGAAACACTGAGCCAGCGAGATGAAAAGCAGCAACGCTGTCCAACGCTGTCCAACACGGGGCCTGCTGGGAGGCCTGCGGGGGACCGTGTGAACATCCTGTACCAGCCTCTGTGAACCCCACACCTGCTGTGCCCCAGCTCAGACACAGCTGCCGCCTGTGCCAGGTAAACACCTGGACACTATGCCATCCCCGCATGTGACATCTCCCATGCTGACCCTAAACCGGCAGGATTTCCTCCACCCCAGGGGGTCCCTGAGGCAGCTTAGACACTCTTCAGAGCCGGAATTGGAGTTTTGAAGATAACCTTCCCCAACTCACTGACCGTGGTTACTATCATTACTGCTCTAACCACATGCCAAGGGCAAGAAGCAAGGCTCCTGGGCAGGCTTTCCAAGTTCCAATAACCACCCAAATCACCAGGGTATCTTATTAAAATGCAGATCATGATTCCTTAAGTCTGCCAACAAGAATTTGCATTTATAACAATCCCCTGATGATGCTGACACTGCTGGTCTTATTACAACTTCCAAACTGGAATTACCTGGAGATTTTTCCCAAACCCAGGTCACACCCCACACTAAGTCACAACTTCCAGGGGTGGGGCCCAGGCATCAGGAGTTCTTGAAGCTCTCCAGGGGTTCCAGGGTGAGGATGGGTTTGGGAGCCACTGTTCTAGGGAATATTTAGGGATGAGACAGCAGACTGGGGTGGCTGAAACAGAACGTACCTGGAGTTACTGGACAGTGATAGAGTGCTGAGATGTGTTAGGTGCTGTCCTAGGTACTGGGTATAACAGGGAATGAGACCTATCCTCACCATCTTGGAGCTTATCTTCAAGATGCATGTTAAATACGGGACCAAGCCAGTAAATGGGATAAGTCCAGGTTGGGGTAAAGCCACAAATAAGGTAAACAGTAATGACAGATATACAATGAGGGAGACACCCTCAGATTTAGGGATCAAGGAAATCTCTCAAAGAATGTGACATTGAGCTGAGACCTGGAGGTTGAGAAAGGGCCAGCCTTGTAAAGAGCCAGGTAAGGGAATGGTGGGTGCACAGGTATGGAGATGAGAAAGGAAGCAAGTGGCAGAAGGGCAGGGAAAGGAGTCCTACCTGGCACCTTACCCTTCACCTGAGTGGGAGAGAGAGCGAGCCTGGCCTGAGAGGCTGTGACCTCCTGCCTAGATCCCCCAAGGAAGGAAAATGGAGGGATCTGTTCTCATAATACCCACAGGAAGAATGATCTCTCCACTGCAGCATCACCTGGGGACAAACCCAGGTCCCGGTTCGTTCTAAACCAAGGCGTAGAAGGAAGAAGTGCCCCAGAGGGTGGGCACGGCATGGATCTGCCACCTACCTCTGGCTGAGAGCTTTTTGGTGTTGATGATCTTAGCAGCATACTCCTGGCCAGCCAGCACCTTCACACACCTGCGTACCACTGAGAAGGCTCCCCTAGGAGGACAGAGAAGGCGAAGGAGGTAAGGAAGGGTCCAAGGGAAGCATTGCTAGGACATGCCAAAGTTCATGCATCTGTACCATGTTAGCTAGGGAACCCTCCTGCAGGGCTGCTCAAGCTCCCAGGGGCTGCTGTGGCCTGACTCTGGGACAGGGCAGGGCTGGAGACCCAGGAGAACCCCTGCTGGCAGATTACGAGGGCCTTGGCCTCATGAGTGATGAGCCTTCCAGGGTTGTAATAAGTTGGGCTCACCACTCCATTCTAAAACATCAGAATCTTCTACCCATTTTCACTTATTTTCCACTGTACACAGTGTTCTGCTTTGACCAGTTAGTCTTTATTCTTACATTTAAATTTCTTATTGCCAAAAGAATGCATTTTATGAGAAAAAAAAACTCTTCAAAGCCAATTACGCCATGCCTTGCACAAAATGTTGTGAAATCTAGAAAAGAGTGTGTGTTATCCCTCTGTTTATTCTTGAACAGAGGGCAATGAGGGCACTGGGCACTTCTCACAAACTTTCTAGTGAACAAAAGGTGCCTATTTTTAAAAAAATAAAATAAAACATAAATATTAAAAAAAATAAAAATAAAACATCAGAATTACGTGGTATCAGAATCACAGAATCCAGGTCTCTGAAAGATTTTAGTTTTCCATTCTTTGAGTAGGTAACACATCAACATGGTTCAAAGTTCAAAAGATACAAAAATGTAGATAGTAAGAAGTCTCCCTCTCACCCCTGTACCCTAGTCTCCAAGGTCCCGTCCCCAGGGACAGACGGCATTATTGGGTCCATGAGCATCTTTCCACAAATACTCTCCCCCACACAATGGGTACGGCACCTTGCATGCTGTTCTGAACCCTCCTTTTTTCAGTAAATATTTTGCCGGTACTCCTTCCATACTGTAATATGAAAAGCACCTCATTATTTGATGTCCTATAATTTACCTCACCAGTCCCCTATCGATGGGCAATTAGGTTAGTTCAGTCCATATTACAAAAAGTACTGCAATGACTGATCTTACATGTGTGCATTAGAATTATGTTGCCCATGCGTGCATGTGTCTGTGGATAAACTTCAAGAACTGTATTATTAGGTCAAAGGGTAGGTGTTATTGGTAATTTTGATAGATGTTGGGAGATTATCCATCTTAGAGATTGTACCAACTGACTTTCCCTAATATGTGAAGGGACCACCTCTCCCCTTGTCCAAGGTGTGTTATCAAACTTTCTTGTCTTTGCTAGAGAGACAGGTGGGAAATGGTGACTCAGTGTAGGCTTGATCGTAATTCTCCTACTGAGTGAGGCCGAGCATCTTTTCACATGTTTTAAGAGGCTCCTGGGACTCAAAGTATTGGTGGTTGGAAAAAAATTTGGGGCGAGGACTGTGAGTTTCAGTGCTTACATGGGTACATTGATTATTGCCATGTGGAATGTGGCCCACTCCCCAGATTATTCAATTTTTCTTTTTTAAAAAGATTTTATTTATTTATTTGAGAGAGAGAGAGAGCATGAGCGAGTGGAGTGAGAGGCAAAGGGAGAAGCAGACTCCCTGCTGAGCAGGGGGCCTGAGGTGGGACTCAATGTTGGGCTGGATCCCAGGACCCCAAGACCACAATCTGAACCAGAGGCAGCCACTTAACCAGTTGAGCCACCCAGGTTTCCCAGATTGTTCAATTTTTCAATAAAGCCTGAAGTCTGGCTATTTACGTGAAATTTCCCAATTTTTAAATACTGGCATCTTATTCTTAAAAAAAAAAAAAAAACAATTTGACCATAGTGTCTCATCAGAAAACCAAGTGTGAGGGTGAGATCTCACATCTCAGAACTATGCCATACCTCCTACCTCAAAGGTCATCTGGTGCAACTCCTTCATATCACAGAGGAGGCCCCTACGGAGTCGGACACTGACTGTAGTCACTGCCATTAGCACCCTAACCGCAGACTAACGGCAAGAAGCAAGTGTGTGGGCAGGTTTCCTCAATTTTAATGTGTATATGAGTCACCAGGGTGTCTTATTAAAACACTGATTCTGATTCCTTAAGTCAGGAGTGGAGCTCAAGACTCTGAGCTCCAGTGTAGCTTAGTGTAGACGGCTTACATAGCTAGCCATGGGCAGGGCCAGGCCTAGAACTCAGTATTTGCACTCCCCCACCAGGGGAGCCTGCCACATCTAGGTTCCTGAGCCATGCCTCATCACATCCTCCAAACTTTGATGCCCTATCCTGAGCACGAGGGCGGGTGCAAGCCCAGGAAGCCTGCAGGCTGGCACAGATGCCCTCTCTGCACACACCCTGGCATGGTGTCCCTCATTTCGTGTCTGAGCAGCATGAATGGAGCAGATGGAAAACTGGAGAGGGATGAGGAAGAAAGAGCCAGGTGGGTGCATGAGACCAGGAAATGTCAGAAAGCACTAAAAAGCATTAGACTATCCACTGGCACTAGAATTCCTGGGCAAGTGGATAGCCTCACACAGCAATGGACATTCCCTGGGGTGTGCACCCTTGCTGTCCTTCCCCCACCCCACCTGCCCCAGGAAAGCAGCAAGACGTGAGTCTCCCTCCCAGAGGAGCATCGTTAAGGACTCCCTAACCAGTGCTCCCAGAGCATTCCACCCTTTCCCATCTCCACCCTTCCCCATCTAGCCCCAGATCCTTTGGGATCTCTCGTCCTGTTTGTCCCTCCACCTGACGGTAAGTTCCTGCGGGGCCAGGACTTTGACTTTCTCCTCCACAGCCCTGTGCCCCGGTGCCCAATGTCTGCTACCAACCAATAGGGCCTCCATGAATGTTAGTTGTAGAAGCAAGAAGCAGATTGAGTTCACAGTGAGAAACATAATGACACAGGGGAGTGGATTTTACAACAGGGTGTTGGGAATAGGAACAGGAATCTGAAGACGGTAGGGCATAACCGCTCTCTCTCTCTCTCTCTCTCTCTCTCTTTTTAATATTTCACCTACTAATTCATGAGAGACACAGAGAGAGAGAGAGATGGGCAGAGACACAGGCAGAGGGAGAGGCAGGCTCCATGCAGAGAGCCCGGATGTGGGATTCGATCCTGAGTCTCTAGGATCAGGCCCTGGGCTGAAGGCGGCGCTAAACCACTGAGCCACCCAGGCTGCCCTACAACCCATCTCTCAAAGGCGCCCACCACACCCAGACAGGGGGATGGACCCGAAGGCCTTCAGGTCCCTGCCCAGCTGGAGGCCACGATTCCCAAAGGGCCCAGGGGAGAGAGCATTTGAAGTGGCCCCTTCTGGAAAAGGTTGGAGAGCTCCCATGAGAGCAGGAGCCTGGAAGGAGAGGGGCTGTAAGCTCCTGAGAGCAGAGGCTGGGTCTTGCCTCACTCCCCAGCAGCTAGCCCATGTTTGGTCCAGAGCTGGAGTTCAATTAACGTGGGATGGAGGGATGGAGGGGTGGTGGGAGGAAGGCAGCGAAGGAGGAATGGATATAATTTTTCCACTAAAGAAACAAATTCTAAGTAAAAAGTAATTAATGAAGTAAAATAATTCCATTCCAAGCAAAGATCTTAGACCAATGGTTATCAAACCAGCTGCTTTGGAATCCCTGCGGGGATATTAAAAAAAAAAACAAACAAACAACAAAACACATGCCAGGGCCCTACCCAGACTTAACCAAACCAGAACCTCTGGGCAGGGGCACAAGGGATCTGTATTTTTGTTTAACACACAATCCAGATGATTGTTTCCTTCCCGCCCGCCCTCTGGGGAAGACCTGCTAGATGCCCTGACATCAGCACTGACGGTGCTGTCACACGCCACTCTATGCAGGGACGCCTGACAGCCCCATGAACCTGGGCTCTGCCCAAGGAGCTGAGGACCTAAGAGCCACATCTATAAAACAAGAGAAGGCACATTTGCTAAACTTCCTTCTCGGAACACAATGCCAAGCTTTTGTGTAAATCTTAGCTTCTAACTAGAGGTCCCTTTTTAAAAAGATTTTATTTATTTATTCATGAGAGACAGAGAGGCAGAGACATAGCCAGAGGCTCCCACGGGGAGCCTGATGCAGAACTCGATCCCAGGACCCTGAGATAATGACCTGAGCTGAAGGAAGATGCTTCACTGACTGAGCCCCCGAGGCACCCCTAACTAGAGGTTCTAACTAGGTTCTATCATGGGGAGGGAAGCTCCAGGGGCCATGTACCCACTGAAGGACATCCTGTGCCTCTGAGAGTAGGTATGTGCATTTTTTTCTGGGGCAAGGATGCATAGCTTTTAGCAGCTGCTCAGAGGGAGGAGTTTGTCAAAACCAGTTCAGAGCTACTGATCCAGAGGGCACCAGCCTCTCAGGTACCCAGAATGTATCCTCCTTTTAAATGTGCACCATAAGCTCCTTCTCGACCACTGCAGCACTGCAGAGCTGGAACTAGGATCCCCATTTAACAGATGGGGAAACTGAGGCCTCAAGCAAACAGGAATACTCCTAGTGGGTCTGTGAAGAGGATCCAGGTCCCCTGCACTTGTTCTTCTGACTTCACCAAAGGCAGGAAGTTGTGACCCTCAAGATCAGGGGTTTCTGGGCTCACAAAGCTCTGTAGTCTGATTGTGACATCCTCAACTGTGATACTGAACTTGACACTTCACCTCTGTTTCCTTCTGCAAAATGGGGGCAATAATAGCATCTTCCTCCTGGGTTTGCTGGGGAGATCAAGGGAAGTAACACAAGTGAAACACTGCTCACAGTGCCAGGTACATAGAACATGTGGTGAGCAAAAGACCCAGGTCGGGGAGCCCCTCTTTCTACCTGCGCAGCCTCAGGTCTCCATCCACAAGTGGGGAGGTTCATCTCTGCCTGCCATAGTGCTGGGGTTCAGGGGGACGGGGGCAGGGGCAGAGGAGAGTCTGCAGCAGAAATGAGACTAACCTCTCTCTTGTAGCTTTTGCTTTAAAAAGGCCTATTTCTGCATTACCATCCTGCATGAGCAAGTGGCCACAGCCTAGCAGCCTTGGCCAACAACAAAAAAATCCAGCCTA